ACTTTATGTTAATTCGTGTGGTGCATACTGTAACCAGTCTTCTTTAGCGTGTCCTTTTAATGTCTCCATGGGCTGGTACCAGGGCACTGGGATATTCAAATGAGACAAGACTGGATATAACAGTAACAATAAGAAGTTCTGGGAAGAATTAGTCGTCTAATTTCCTTTGATACGACATGAAAAGCATACAACATAACGCCTCCAGCAATTCTTCGTTGCCGCGGGAACGTCTTTACCGTGTTGTCGCCTAACAACAAAAGAGGGATACCCAGACATACCCACAGACTCTCCTTTGATAAGAAACGGACCGCATAGAAACTGACGCGTCCAACAATTCGTCTGCTGTTGGAGGTATTAGTTGCACGGGAACGGGTTTACCGAGCCGTTGCCTAGTAAAGAAAGGAAGAATACATTTTACCGAGTCTTTGCTTAACAGCGATAGGAGGGCTACACATGCAGGCACACAGACTGATGGGAGAGATTTATGAAGTACGCCGTTGAGATGCGCTCAATTGCCATGATGTACATACACAGAGTTTTGTTTAGACATTCGAAAGTAGACAGGGGGGATACACAGACACAGACAGGATGGAGATCGCATAAGCCTACTTCAGTAAAGTAGCCTAAAAACAATAGAATCTTGTAGTTTCATTTTATTGAAGTTACTAAATCTCACTGCGTCTTTATGTTACTGTTAACGATGCGATATGCTCTACTGAATGGGATAGAATCACGTGATCACGTGTGGCCTAAAGAACAATCCACCACTGCATTTCTTCCCGCTTCAAACCAAGTGAACCTCCCACTCCTACCGCTGCTACATACCCTTGGGGGGGGGGGTACTCGAAGTTCCATGCTGTTCCCCATCAGTAATATGAAACAAAATCCCTCAATGTAAGAAGTAAAATGGGTCAATGGATGTCCGCTTATTCTATTCATAATTCTAGAATAAATTAAAGCTTCAGTACCATTGTCAACCATAATTCCTAATCACCAATTCGGATTTCTGGAAGGTCACGCAACAGTGCAACAATGCCACAGAACAGTGCATTATATCATGGAAGCTATGGACGACAAAAAGATTTGTAGTGCAGCATTCTTAGATATACAACAAGCGTTGGACAAGGTCTGGCACAATGGCCTCCTCTACAAAATCAAGAAAAGATTACAGAGTTAAATATTCTTGCTACTGAAATCATACTTAACGGAAAGACATTTCCAAATTAGAATAAATAATGAAGTATCAAACGTCCATAACATCAAATCCGGAGTGCCGCAGGGAAGCGTCTTAGGCCCGCTCCTGGATTTGCTCTACACCGCTGACCAGCCAACTACAGAGAACAGTGTTTTGGCCACTTCTGCAGTTGATTCAGCGATACTCGCAGCAAATCAGGAGCCTCTGATAGCCTCTGTAGACTTACAGAGACACATAAATCTTCTGCAGCGGTGGCTCCAAAAATGGCGCATAGAAACTAATAATGACAAATCAGCACAAATTACTTTCACCACTCGACGAATTAGCTGCCCGCAAGTGACAATCAACAATTCTCTTATACCCACCAAATCCGAAGTAAAATATCTAGGACTTCACTTAGATCACAAACTAACGTGGCAAACACACATAAAAATGAAACGACAACAATTAACGTTAAAAGCAAGACAGAGAAACTGGCTTCTTGGAAAGCATTCACAGCTGTCTCAGTCCTATTATATAAAGCAATTATTAAACCCATCTGGACCTACGGGATTGAGCTGTGGGGGTGCGCTAAACCATCCAATACCAAAATTCTGCAAACGTTTCACTCGAAAACCTTACGGGGTATAACAGGAGCACCAGGGTACGTATCAAATAAAACCCTCCACGAAGACCTCAACTTACCCTTCATAACGGATGAGATCAAAAACAAACTAACAAATACCAAAACCGGATTACAGGCCATGAGAACCAGCTAATCGATGAACTATCGAACCCACACGCTAATGCAAGAAGATTGAAGAAAAAGTGTCCAGAAGACTTAAGGAATTAAATGGATGAGAACTGCCGCTGGGCAGTCACCGCCTTCAGGACACAAGAAGATATATCGCATTTACTGGTTACTGCATTTGCGGTTAGGCAGATTGCAAATTGGCAAAATTGGCCAAAATTGGCAAAATAAAAAAAAATAATTCTAGAATAGCAAGGCGCAAATACTTAAAACTTATTACACTGCTGAACGGCATTATTTTTTTATTGCTAGTGGGGTGGGACTAAGTCCCTTGTACTGCGGCCACTTCTGGCCTATTGTACCAGCCCCAGAGGGTAGGTGAGGGTGATTGTGGAGCAGTTGGTGGAATGAAGATTGGCAGGGGAAACCGAAGTACTTGGAGAAAACCTGCCCCAGCGCCACTTGACCAGACCCGGGATCGAACCCGGCCGCCGCAGTGGGAAGCCAGCGACTAACCGCTTGAGGTATGGCGCGGCCTCTGCTGAACGGTAACCCAGAACATCCGCAGACACACTGTTGCACTGTTGCTTCCAGCAGAAGTTGCCTCGATTTGGAGGCTGCGCAAATAAATATATGCAAAGACTCTGCATATTGGTTATAAAAATGTATAGCCTTTATCAGATCATATTAAAATTTGCCTAGATCTCTTAGAGTCTCATTCCTGCCCCAGTATGGGCTCTAGTTTTGAGTCTACGACCTGTGAAGGTGACACGAGAAATGTTTCTATGTTTCAAGTGGCTTAATACTAACCAAATTATGTAGTTTTTGTAGGATTCGAGGTTCTCACAGCGGTTGTTATCAAGAGTAACATCTTCTGGGATATAACACCGTGTAGTCCGTTGAAAGTTAACCGACGTTTCGGGGAACATATCGCCTCCATCTTCAGGGTAAAATAAGCCAAGCAAGATAACAGCGCGAAAGCAGGTGGCAAGTTCAAACTACACGGCGTATTATCCCAGGAGACAGAACTCCGTATTGTTTTTGTTTCAATATCAAGATGTTTTAAAGCTCTTTAAATTAAAAGTACCCTTCGGTCCCTATATAATTGCAATCGCGACTGGCAACTCATTCTGCCTAGCCACCTGCTTTCGCTGCTTTCTCGCTCGGCTGATATTCGACCCTGAAGATAGAGGTGATACGTTCCTCCGAAACGTAGGTTCATATACGGACTACACGGCGCTATATCCAAGACAATGGAAATTTTCATCTTTATAATTATGTTTGTCTCAATAACATGGCTGGTTCCAGATTTCATTTGGTCGTTACCTTACTCGCGTACACACACAAGAATGGTGGAGTACGTGATGTTGGGCGCAGTCGTGATAGCTCAGTCGGTATAGCTACGGCCTGGAGGGCCAGGGTTCGATTCCCGACAGGGCAAGAGATTTGTATCTACACCATAGCGTCCAGACAGTCTTAGGAGCCCAGCAAAACTCCTATTCAATGGGTACCGAGGGCTATTTCACGGGGGGTAAAGCGGTCGGAGCTTGAAGCTGACCACTCACCTCCATCTAGTGTCGACGTCAAGAATGACAGAGCTATATCTCACTCCCCATGTTTCTTCGTGGCTTATTGCTTTACCCTACCTTTAATCCCCTTTCTGCTTATCGTGAAGGAATGCGCATCCCTTTGAAACACACCTCTAAGTGAAAGGTTTTTGCATTAGATACGTATAAGTTGAAATTAACTTCAACAACAAATATAGATAATAATGACCAGTTTCAAGCTCCGAACGCTTTACTAGGGGAAAGCGCCCCGGATACCTATCAGATAGACCGGCATAGTTGTTGTGACGCAGAGAAAACTACCAACCCCGTCACTAGCTGAGCTATCCTAGCTAATATCTGATGAAATATAGGCATATATCAATGCATTTCGTTATATCATAACAGGGTGTAATGGACCACTATAAATAAAAATTACATTTTACAGGCAAATTTTAATAATTTTAATAAATTTCGTCCAAAAACAAGAACAGACTCTGTGATTCTAGTCAGCAAGCGAACTACACCGACCGAGCGACCTCCGCTTGTCGGCGAAGTTAGTGCCACCTTTTGTGGATAGAGGGTGTCGCGTGGTCAGAGCAACGAATTCCCACACCCGTTAATTTCGGTTTTCCAGACCGGAGCCGCTATTTCCTTTAAATAGCTCCTCAATTATCCTTACGAGGCTGAGTGGATCCCGTTCCAGACCCATTGCTTCTTAGAAAATCTGGTAGCGCCGGGAGTCGAACCCGGGCCTCTGGATCTCTAGCTAGGAGCTCTGACCACTAGACCACAGAGGCGGTACACGTACTTTAAACAGTTCTGTGGCTAAAACAGGTAGACAGGCATTACGTCGCTATACTGCATGACGTTCTTCGCTTTATGCATTAATTGTGGAGGGAACAAATGACGCAAATTATAGAGTCAGCACAGACATAAAGTAACAACAAAGCAAACACAAAAGACGGTAGAAACTCGGAACCAATCACGGCTATTTAAATTTAAACACGACTTTTATAAGAACATCAATCGATTCACAGACTGCATTAGCAGTAGGAGCACATCCAGATGAAGGACAGTGGCTGGAGGAGCAGCGGAACTTTGAAGAGTATAACAAATTGACAACAATTAATTTGTTATTTCAAGTTTAGTCTATTGGACAATTTGGTGCTGCCCTTTTATGCCTCGTATCAAATGGATACCGGAAACTAATTCTGAATCATGAACCTCCACGTAATACTGGGGTTAATAATTTATAGTCTACCGTCACACCTAGAGAGACGGACGAAATCAGGATTATTGGAATCTCGGCCAAGATTCTAGTCTGGTACCACCGGAATAAAGACTACATGAGTCAAATTGCTTGTTATATCCGGTCCTATCAATACCATTCATGTTATTTTCCTTAATAATACATTCAATTTGTAATCGTAGTTAGACGTGCAACGGCTTGATGGCTGATTTGTATTTCCCTCCATCACAGTTGCAATGGTGGCAATAGTGATACCAACCTGGCGAAGACCAACAACACAGAGCAGACATGTAAACAAATGGCGTGTACAAGAAAGATATTGGAGGTTATCAAGAGAAAACTAATACCTAATTATGGAAAACAGCGTTTTCATACAATTTCAAAAACATTTGCAGAAGTAAATCAAGAAGAAGCTTCATCAAAAGAAACCCATTTTGGTTTTGAAACTGTAAAAGAAACCGAGAAAGCGGAGAAAGGTATGACCGGTCAAATTCTCGTGATTACAAGTAATTGAAATCGTGTCGTTTAGGCGTTCCATAAATGATTGCGTATTAATATACTGTAATATTGACCAGTGTATTCCTAAAATAATATTAATTTTAGTCCAATCACTGAGGGTTTTCTTTAGGAGTAGCCAGTGCTTGAGGTGGAATGAAAATAGAACCGGGATGCCATCCCGCCCCACCTCAAGCCCTGGGTATTTTACATTGCATTTACTGCCAAAGAAGTAACGGGATGTTTTTAAGCCATTTAGAAAAGAACCGGGATGCCATTCCGCCCCACCTCAAGCCCTGGGAGTAGCACAACAGATCTAATCCTCTCCTAACTTATAATTGAATATGGGTTGCACGTAGTTACCAAATCTTAGGACACATAAATTCATGAATATATTGACTTTTAAAGTATCATAGAAGGGGATGTTTGGGTGAAGCAAATGGATGTCTCATGGTATTCAGAAAATGAAGACTACTTATTGCAAACCATTCAGTCTATTCAAGATCTACTCCTAAAGAGGAACACATACAGGTAGAAAAACAAGTTTCATCAAAACACAAGGTCAGTTAGCGATTTTCTCCCTTAACCTTGATTTGGATGGGGAAAAAATACCAACTTGTAACAGGATACACAAATTACGGACAAAGTGTTATACAGTCAGGCGATCCTCTTTGTCATTCATCTAAGCAAAGTAAACGTAACCTAACACAACTCAAATATTTTACTAATGGCAGAAGAAGGAAGTAATATAAATATATACCCAAGAAAGCTTGGGAAGACTAACAGGCTGTAGTATGACGTAGCAGCTGTAGCATGGGACAAACTATGTACCATTATACCTTTGGTCACAAATTTTCCTGTATAAAGTTAAAAAAAGCACCATTATCTTTCAGGTTATAAGTTTTCAGGTTTTCACAGTGGTGACTGTTCAGATTGTGATCTTCTGGACTATGACACTGTCTAGTATTGTAGATGGATTCTGGTGTCTCTGAGCAATATTCTGCCTCTTCAGGCCCAACATGAGTGTGAGAAATATGCAGTTAAGTTATGTAGGTGCAAGGATAGTGATACTCAGATCCGTTAAATGGGAAAGGAGATGGAGTCCATTGTTACCCAACAGGAATCACGAGAGCATGAAAGTGGCCCTCATTAAGCACCAAAATATTTGTCACTGGAGAGGTATTGAATTGTGAGTCTTGTCCAGGTCAGTAGGGACATGCAGTATCAGAGAATAGAATGACCATGTAAGTGCGTATGTAACAAGGGTAACGTCAAGTTGTATACAGTTGTTTTGATTAGGTTAGACTTAATTGCACCATGACAAAACAGTAACAGGCTTGATGTACTGTTTCAGTGTATTCAGTATTTGAGACTGTGGCCAGCAAATATGATGCGATGAATGATGCAATGAGTTTTGGTATTCATCGCATCTGGAAAGACATTTTCATTCAGAGACTGAGTCCCACAGCAAACACACATTTGTTAGACGTCGCCGGAGGCACAGGTATATGCATAAAGGGCCGTTAAATTGTGCAGTGATTCCAGGGATAAATAGTTGTTGCAACTTCAACAGATTGAAGAAAAGAAGTTCAGGGAATAATTCATTGTGCCAAACTTATGTTAAATACTTCCATCTGCCAGGAGAGGTCTGCTGATCTCACATATTAATAACCACATGAGTTTTTGATGTTCTCACAGCAGTGAGTATGAAGATTGGCATCTTCTGGTATGTAACACTGTGTAATCTGGTAGAAAGGTACCAACATTTCAGAGGAACCTGCTGCCTACTTCAGGGTAGGGTACTTCATGGTTAGTACTGAAAGAGAATGGGATGCTATGGACTGGATTCATCTGGCTCATGATAGGGACCAGTGGCAGACTTGTGACCACAGTAACAACCTTCTATTTCCATAAAATGTTGGAAATTCATGAGTAGCTCAGCAAATGTTGGCTTCCCAGTTGGCTCCATCGAGTGAGTTAGTTCGTTAATCGTTCCTTCACTGCTGTGAGAACCTCAAATCTTAAGCCTTACATTTTGACTTGCTATGGTCTGCACAGGATTCTAACATGTAGGTCATATGATTTCAGGTGATATTGCATTCAGGTTCCTAAAATATCTGAATGTGGCAGGAAACTTGAGTGGCAGTGTAACAGTGTGTGACATAAATAATGTTATGTTGGATGTAGGCCGATCACGGGCCGAAAAATTGGGCATCAATGGTAAACAGATCAGCTGGCTTCAAGGTGATGCAGAAAACCTTCCAGTTGATGATGCTTCATTCAGTGCATATACAATCGCTTTTGGCATTAGAAATGTGACACACATAGACAAAGTGCTGGAGGAGGCATACAGGGTGCTGAGGCCAGGAGGGAGATTCATGTGTCTGGAGTTCAGTCAACTGAACAACAGGATGTTGCAGTGGTGAGAACATTGCATAAACAGGGCTACTCTGGATAAAATAGTCTGTTACACTGTGGGCATTTGGGCCATGGAATTTTGCCATCATGGGAATTATAAAACTACTAACCAATTAACTAACTCCATGGAGCTGAGTCCTTCTTGAGAAGCCTCCAGTCGCTCAGCTACTCAAGAATTGTCCTAAATTTTATGAAACCCGAAGGGTCATTATCGTGTTCACAACAGCCCTCTACTGGCCCCTATCCTTAGCCAGTTGAATCCAATCCATACCACCCCATCCTATCTAAGATCCATTTTATTATTGTGCTTCCCCTTACATCTAGGTCTTCCTAATGATCTCTTTCCTTCAGGCTTTTCCACCAGTATCCCATATGCATTCCTCTTCTCCCCCATGCATGCTACACTTGACAAAGGATACAAGTTATGAAGCTTCTCATTATGCAGTTTTCTCCAACCTCCTGTCACTTCATATCTCTGCAGCCCAAATATTCTCTTCAGCAACATGTTATCAGACATCATCAGTCTGTGTCCCTCCCTTAATGCCAGAGACAAAGTTTCACAACCTTACAAAACCACAGTCAAAATTATAGTTTTGTATATTGTAGTTTGGAAAGCAGATCAGAAGACAAAAGTTTGTGGACTGAATGGTAGCAAGCATTACCCGAATTCAGTGTCCTCTTAACTGCCTCCTGAACCAAATTTTGATTTGTTACTGTTGGACCCAAATATTTCAACTATGCCACATTTTCAAAGGGTCCATTAGCCATCTTTATGTTATGATTTTGCCCTGCATTCTGGTGATGAGACACAGTATTCTCTGCATTTACTTCCAGACCAACCTGATCATTGGCATCAATTAAGAGTTTCTGTTTCTTTATGGTGTCTGTGTTACCTCATAATACATTTACATCGTCAGCATAGAGAAGAAGCTAATGTGTCCCATTTAATTTCAGTCCACCCGAGTTTTCTTGGACCTTCCTAATGGCATATTCTAAAGCAGAGTTGCAAAGCATTCACAATAAAGGAAATTATAAGATACATGTAAAATTCATGATGCTGACTGTGCAAGCAGCAGACCTATGAGAGCATGGAAAGTGTATTTACTGATATTTCTGATAGGCAAAAAGTATTTTTGTTATATCTAAGGGAGCATCTCCATTTATAACTTAGGACTGAATGTAAGAATGGGGTTTGAATTATGAAATTTTACAATATGGACTTTTTTCAAGAAAGAATCTCTGAAATCACATGACGTGCAGACATTTCAGGATCAAAGAAGTAGAACATATGAAAGACAAGACTAATAAACTTGAAACAAACATTAAGAATGAAAATATCTGAGACTTGTACAGAGGCGAAGGTTAATTTAAGAAGGGTTATAGGGTAAAATGGTGACCAAGATACAAACATCAATATAATCTGCAACATGTCTCAATACCTTTCAACATTCTACAGCTTTCTATATCACGTTCAAGCAAACATCCATGATAGCTTTCTTGCAGCTGGAGTTCCAGCAGCCCGCATAGAGCCAGTAGACACCAGAGAAATAATATGTACATAGGGTTACATGCGAACACAACAATTTATGGAACCAAAACCAATTGAAATGTACGGCCTAATTAGGTATAAGAATTTTATACAAAAATGCATTTTAATTTGAACTAACTGACAAATGTGATATGAAACAAAATTGTTGTGTCACAAAACTGTGTATTTAATAACACATAGATTCTCATTGTAAAGACTGGCCAGTGTGTAGTAACATCAGTCACACTGACAGTGAACATGTAACTAGCTTGATGATGGCCAGTTAGGCTAAATATATAGCAAAACAAATTAAATATATATAACTGTATGCAATGTTGCACTGATGGAACCTCCACCAGTATATTAATACAGTTATTGACTCCTTGGACATTAACCATCAGCCTGTTTTTAGTTAGTCTCCATCTCCTGAGAGAGAGGCTAGCTCAGTCAGTTGGATGCAACTGAGTAGGCTTTCAGCTAAGGACGGAGACAAGAGTCCAGTCTCCGAAACTTTGTTTTTTAAATGAAAAACAGGATGATATATGATGTCTGAGAAGTCAACAGTTATGTCTGGTGTATGGTATCTCATTATGAGATGATCATTGAGACAGGCAGACATGCAGCATGCTGGGAAGTAAAGTGTATAGTTATATGAGCAGAGAATCCATAGGAAGAGATCGCTTGGATGGAATGAGTAGGAGGACAATATTCAAGAAATGGGATGGAAGGCGAGGAATTGATTCATCTGGCCCGTGATAGGGACTTGTGGGATAGTGTGAAGACATTAATGAGCCTTTGGATTCTATAAAAGGCAGGGTATCTCTGTTCATTGAGCAACTAACAGTTTCTGAAGAACCGCCCTCACTCTCCACCTCCAATACCATACAATACCAACCCTAAACACCAGAACAACACACATGGCCAGTATCAATAATATGGATTATTTTACTTATTTCATTTTACATACGTCAAACCACTTGGCAATATAAAAGGGTTTATCATTGTTGGCAGCACTGTGTAATTACAACAAAAAGAGACACGGAGATGATGAAAAAAGGTAAAACTATACCTGTAACAGGCCGTGGAGGCTCACAGGCTTGTGAGACGTCAAGACTCCCACGTTTTCTAGACATACTGCTCACAGATGGCGGTGAGGTTGTCAGCCTCACGCGCCGGCAGCCCCCCCCCAGGAAGTTTACTTGTGCTCTTTTATATTAGAAGCTGGGTTGAGCCCAGGGCCATAGTGTGGCTGGAAGTATTAGGTCCATTGAAAGATTTGATGACCTCATTGGGAATCGAACCCGCGACCTTCCGGCTTGTAGCGTAGTGCCCCAGCCAACTACGCTACCGCGTATCCCCGAAAGAGTGATAATACTATTAAAAATATATCTGAAATATAAAAAAAGAATGGTGGCCTTGACCAAAAGTACATTAACTAACTCACGATCCCAAATGAATCAGAAGTGTTTTAGATGAATGTAATACAGTTGTACAGATATAACTGTGAAGTGTAAGCAACTGAATTGTGTACAAGTAAACACAGGCAGCACAGTGAAGCTTCTGTGGGTGGTAAGTCAAATCAATAAAAGGCCTGGATAACCTTGACATCATATTAATATAGTTCCTATTTTTAATTACTTTTAGACTTCAACGTTATGCCTGAATCTATAATAATATTTTGATGAAATGAATAATAATTATGTCCGCAGGGAATTCTGTTTCCTCGCTAAAAATAACAACGCCACCGCAAATTTACTAATTGCGACATATTGCGACACTGTGACTAGCCGTATGTTAAATACATCAATTTAAATTTAAAATGCATTATAATATCGCCACAACATGACCAAGTCAGGAAAACGTTCGATTAACGGCAAAAGAATGAATTTTCACAGTAGACACATGAATTCGTAATATGACATATATCAAACGATGGCCGAAATCTACATTCGTATTCCATCTAGTGGTGAAGAGGAGAAGTTTTAGGACGTCATTTATGACGTGGGGTTCGTGTATATCCGGCATATGGCTGGAAAGGGTCGATTGTACAAAAGAGGCGGAATATGTCATGTCAAACAAGTTAGACTTTAGGACAGGAACCGAATGGTACAATATCGCTCAGCCTTTCATTATGAATCCCCCACCCACTGTTTTTTTTTTCATTTCCTGAAGAATGCGAATAGCTCTGTAATATTGATTCAGGCATATGGTATCCAGGTTGCTACAACCCTGGCTCATGTTATTGATTAATGATTTTGCGGAGGCAACTTGAGAATTGTCCGCCCAGAAGGTGATGCTCATATTATTCGCAGCCTCACATCCTGTAGATATAAATAATATTGGTTTGGTTGCTATGGAAACCCGACTTCAATACCAGTCATCCTACTAGTTTCCTTCCAGGTTGATCTTGCAGTAGCAGAGGGAATTACACCGTTCCCCCACCCCCACTAGAGAACGTTTCCAAAAAGGCATATAGGTTTTGAGGCATAAAGATAAAATTGTCTCCAACCTTAATCACCATACCATGAACATGTAAGGGGGGAGTGGAAGTATACCTAAATTTTCGTATCACTGGCAAGAGATGGGGATGTGTGGGCAGTTTCAATGCCCTGGCCACTTTGCGCCTTAGAGAGTATCCCTAGGTACGCAATGGATATGAGGTTGTGGTGAAGAGAAAAAATATCTATTTCCATCCATAAATCAGTCCAAACTCTCTAACAATCTAACCTATGACCTAGTCTTTATACTGCCGCATTACTCCAGCTTCATTATAATAAAAATCATAGCAGAAAAAAAAATGTGTTAGATATTAACAAATTGCAATGTTTTCCTTTAAAATAAAGGTGTCACTGTTGGAAGGAATGCTTCAGTTGTATACATCTTGGCTCTACAGTCCTCTGAAATCCTTGATCTCCTTTACAAGGGATTTCCATTCTTCTCTATTATCTGTCATTTGCTTTTATCCCATCACAAATCATTCTGCCCATCTTGCAGCCATTTCGGTCTGGGCCTTCCCAATTGTCTTCTTCTTCCTGCCTTTAAAAAAGTATCTTAAGCATCCTAGTTCACTGCTGTAGTTGTGTTTAATTTTATGATACTGAAGTGGCAAACAGATCAACAGCATAGTTGGTTCTACATGAATAATGTTTATGTACTTGGAACATTTCATTATTCAAGACCTGTGATAATTTCCTGACCAGATGTACATGTTGTAGGATGTATGATCAGTACTCCTTCCAAGTGATTCCTGTTATGGGACAACTTATCGCTGGACAGTGGAAACCTTACCAATACCTGGTTGAAAGTATACGTCAGTTTCCCAATCAGGTGAGGGGGCTCTACATTGTTACTGCCATTACAGTAAGTCTATGCAACGCCCTGACTTGTATTATGGGCATTCCTAGTTTAAATCTTGTCTGGGGGACAACTTTCCTGAGATCTTTTGTGGTTTTTGCTCAATCCCTCCAGGCAAATACTGAGTGTTGTTAAATAAATACAATTAATCCTCCATGCAAGTGGTTCTTATCACAACCTTTTACTTTTCAGGAAGATTTCAAATATATGGTCGAGGATGCTGGATTTCGTCACGTTAGCTATGAGAATCTTTCATTTGGTGTTGTGGCTATCCACTCAGGGTTTAAGCTTTAACATGCCTCCAGAGCTGCAGATATCTTACTCTCTACAAGTATATTTGTAGACAAAAATTGAACATACATAAATGATTCATCATTGTATGTTTAAAGTTAGTTGGCAATGGTGTGGAACACTGTTTAAGTCCATTTATTTAAACTCTGTCCATAGTCTGTTTTTAAATAAACAACATTTCAGAAATGGGTTCTGTTTCCATCTTCGGGTGGAGAGGATATGAAAATATTCTGACTGCTCTCCAACAAGGACAAGGCAAGGCAAGTGATTAGTAGAACTGGCCAACCTCCACTAGTATAGTGTTCATTTAGGGATACATCACTTCATTGTGCCAAGGGCGATGGTAAAAGTCATCCCAAATAATGCTGATATTTTTAGATTTGCCTCGCCTTCTCTTTACTAGAAGATACTGCAGCACTCTGTTGGTTGAGCTATATATCCAAAATTAGCTGGCCACAGGTGTCCACACCAAGAAAGAAACAGAAGCCATTTCCAAAAGATATCATAATTTTGTTTCAATGGAATGCGTGACTTGTGGATGCCTTGTAATCAGTGTTAATTTGATGTAATTGCAAGTATTGTAATAAAACCAAATGAGGATGTGTGAATTTGTTATCCTCAGAGTATTTACTACACTTTTACCAATATTCCAGTCACATTTATTTAATCGCTGCCAGTGGACAGTGAGTTCTTCCAATGCTGCAGGCTTCTTGCATTACTTGGAAAATATTTCAGCCAAAGTGTCTGTAAGATAGTTGCTAATTTGCAAGAACACAAGGTTTCCCAAGTTTAGGAAGATAACCTATACAGGTTCCCATTAGTACTATGAATTCAATGCACATAAAATTTCGAGTACTGAAATGGAAACAAAATTTTTACAGAAACTGGAATAGAATTCAAGATTTAATCTAGTTAGAAAATTAATGGCTTGGCCATTTGAAAAGAGTGGACAGCAGACAGTGATCTTGAGAAGGGCACTACAATTTGAATTTAAAAGAAAGAGACTGATGTGGCAACCCAGAAGATGGCATAGGCAATTACTGGAATACAAGAAGACAGGAAGAGCTGTACATTGGACTTCTCGTCCACAGACCCACATAAAAGGAAAATGATGCTAGGGCCAGTGTTTTGAATTCAATCTACCAAATTCTCATGTGCCAACATACCAATTTCCATACCTCTGTATCTGTATTAGAGGTTCACATATCCTGGTATACATAACTGACGCTTTTCTCCTTCTATTTTCCAAGTCTGTTGCAACTCCAGAGCTATCTTTTCCAACTTTCTAAGCTTTGTTTTAGTTTACATTAAGGGGGCAGCAACGTTTGTTAAGGTTAAACACAGCATATGGTTTTATGAATTGTGTGTTCACCAAATTTAAGTTTCCTATAACAGTGAGATGTGGAACTGTCAGAAGACATGATAGACTAAGGTCTATTCTTCACCTGTTTCACTGGAGTTTCATCTTTAATAGGCATTCACAAATATAGTGCCCAAAACATCTATGAGGGCTCATGATCATCACACAGTGATGGAGATAACTACGTCATCATTAGGAAGTTACGAGATTCTGCTTTCTACATTCAAAACCAACCAAAAATCACCTTACTGGAGGACACATGAGGACTTTTCTTCAACAAGGTTGCACACATAACGCATATTAACCCTTCAAGATGTTCACAACACTAGAACACAGGGTAGATCTGTTTCAAATCACACATCACTAAATCCCAATGAGAAATGCACTTCAGTTAATAAATGAATTAAGTCCTGTCAAGTAACACTGAGCTTGTCACAACATTCGTTACTTATTTATGTTAATGGCATAAAATTATAGCAGCAAGCAAAAATACTATAACAGATCATTCTGGGACATCATGCACATTTATCTCTATTTTTTCATAAAAATTCATTTTTCTATTGGGTTTATAGAAGTTTTACACTTTTGTGGCATGAAATTCAGTTCCTACCTCAAAGAGAACACTACATTTCCATTACAAAGACTAAATTAGTTATGCTGTTTATTGAAATACTTGGTCTGTTTTGAGAATGACATGAAACAAATAAATACATTGTGCTGGCAAAATGCAGTTCTTGAATGCTGAAGTAGGTGCTGCACGTTATAGCCAACACAGTTTTCAGTTTCAAGCACTGAAAACCGAATCCCCTAGTTCATGATCCTGTGAACCAAATCTTGACACATCTAATGTAGAGTTAAATAGTAGTACTGATGATGAGCTTTTTCAGAACCACAGCAATCAGGTTCACAGAAACTCTGCAAAGGATACCCGACCAAAAATGAAGCATTGTGGGCCACCACTTGATGTTTTGAAACAAGCACATGATTGCAGTAAGGATTCAATGTAGGGTTATAAGATCTGTGATGGCAAATTACTGAAGAGGCACAAATACTGGGACATTATCCATCATACAATTTTATGTCACACACAGTTCAGAAACTGGCTTTCACTCCCCAGGTAAAACACACTACTCTGTTGGGTGCATTGGATCTCACTGGTCCAGGGAGAAAGATTCACTCAATCTGGTTTGTGCAACAGAGTTAACTGTCATACTTTTAACCAAAGGAAGCAGAAGCAGCTTCCAAAACAGTTCGTTAATCAAAAATGATATGACTGAAAACTGTCAAATATGTGTCGGTACAAGAATCTAAAGGACATAAGGAGAGGCATACCTGTCACATCAATTGCTCCACCTCGTGTAAACCTCCATTATTTCCACCAGCAATGCATTCACACAACTATGGCTTTTCTCCATAGACAACTCAGTCATATCAGGTGAGAACCATATTTACACACATGGAAATATTACCCAAGCAGTTTTTTGCAAATATGAAACTCTTCAAACTGAGCACCTAGCCTCAAGAAGACATGTACCAAACTTGAATTCAGAATGTGCCTGGTTCAAATCTAGAGCAGGACATTTCACTATCCAATATTTGTGGGTTTCTGCAATCCTGAAATAGTCTCACATTAGGCCACAACTGCTCCATCACACCATTTTCCAATTTACCAGTCAATCACTATACTGGCTGATGTCATACAGTTTCAACTGTTCACATTAGTAAATGAACCGCACAGAAAAAGAAACACTTCAAAGCCAAACCCCAGGTTTGGAACTTGGTCCTATGTAATTTAATAAGAGCAATCACAAAAAAATCTAAAGCCCCTAAAAATAAAGGTACAGGCAAAATCTCCAGCTAACTGCAGAAATGGTATGTCCATACCAAACAATTACAATAACTTAAATGTGTCACTTCAAGCCTAAGTGCACACCATGGCCATTCTCCAGCAGAATAGGTTCCAAGTTTGTCTGTGGATTACAAAGAGCCATTTGAGTATATTAAGTCTTGCACATATTGGAAGCTAGCCAACAGTCCAGTAAGACCAGTATGGGTCAGAACTGTCTCAAACCACAGCTGTCACTTAAGCTCATCAACTGAGATGAAGCTCCATGATTATAAAGAGGACGAGGAGGAAGGAAGTTGTAATAGATCAGAGATCTTTTTCAACTTGTGATATATCAGTTTAATGCTTGTCAATTCTATGTTCATATAATAATTATAATACAGATTACAGAAGATTTCTTTACATCTGAATAAAGACTGAATAAACACCTTTGAAACGAGCAGATACTCTCTCTACACAGCACCAACTTAATGACAAAATAGCAACCTTGGAAACGTCTGAGAGATACAACATTATGTTTAGAAAAGAGAGACACACGATACACAACTCGTGATATCAAATTTCTAGTCAGGTGTTGTGCGAATAAAAATGTTATGCTATTTTTTACTTTAAATATACCTTCTTTAAACATGGCTCCATTCTGGCAAGCATTAACTTTTAAACTGGGACAATCACCATCTCATGGTGATATAGTGTCTGCTAAGCAAATGCTGAAGCCTCGTCACTCCTCAACATTTCAACCATCTCCCACGCACAGCATCTCAAATGCTTTCTCCAACAAATAATACTTTACCAGAGACAAGTTTCAGCATTATCTGCAGAACTTTTGAGAACTAGAATACACATGAGATGTTAACAGCAATTTATCTGACACAAGAACAGAGAGAAAACATGTAAAACAATTGTGATTTTGTAAATTACAGAAAATGAAATACTAGACATCAAGCCTTTTCTGAACTTCTGCACACAGCCACATGCACACACATTCACACAAAAAGTTTGCAAAGAAAACAGAACAAAGGCAATGAGTTTTCCTCCCTTTCAAAAATGATACACTGAATGACCGCTTAGATTTAATTCCTAAAGCATCTATAATGAACACAATATCGGAACAAAGCTGCACAAACCATTTAAACAGCTGTCTTGAGAAAGTACTCAAGAGTACAATGTCCAAAAGATCCATTCATTCCTAACAAATACATTCCCCTGATGAAAAGAATCACGAATTGGAAATTATTTAAAACATTCACATTCTTTACAACTGAAAAATACCAATATCAATACTGCAGCATTCCCCAGGGGTAGGTTACCTTTCTTAATGCTAGAGCAAACAAAATAAACACAATTTGGTCCAGAATAAATCAGAGCAACAAAATAAAACCTTATGCTTTCCCCTCATACAAATTAGTTCCACCTGCTTTAAAAAAAAACGTGATTTGGTTATGACATTAATCTACACATGGTCAGCAAAGTCAGATCAGAGTTATCGAATTTATGCATAATAATGATTGCTCTTATCCCCCCTCCCAATCCCCCCTTTCCCCACACATGGCAATGAGATTCATGAATTTGGGACGGATAGTACACCATCTACCCACTCTTAAACAGAAGGATTGCCACTTGTCCCAGGTAGAAGTAGATAAAGTGCCTGGTCTCGTGTGTCACGTAGCTCCCGAAGTTACGGCCCACAATGCAATGCCATGTGGGATTGTACTTCTTATCAAACTCCTTTTTTATATATGCTGCAATATCCTGAAAAAACAAATTGTTATGTATCAGATATGGGAAAACTTCAAAGGAAAAACAAACCAACAACCAAGCATATCACTTCAGCGTACAGACATACCTTCTCGATGTTGTACTTTTCCAGCGCTTGTGTTGCACAATCCACAGCATCCTGCTGCATTTCCTCGGACATATCGGCATTTTTTATTACAGCTTTGCGTTCAGACATCTTATTTGACCTGCAACAATATGTAAAACACCAGCCATAGCGCCTACATAAGAAGTCGTTATACTTTCTCAAAGCCTATTACTTTAATTCATGCTGAAGAAATAAAAGATACCTAAATCATGCAATTATCGTCTCAAATGGATCACAACTATCAATAATCAGTAAATCAATAGCAAACCTGACGAGGTTACCTCTCGTAACACGGACTGTTGCTGTCACATCCACTTCCATCTCATGGTAGAATTTGCCGAGAAAATTACACGTAAACTGAAATTTGGGCCAATCAACCCAGTCCCATACATGGGCCACAGATGGCAGTAAAATATTAAATACTGCACGAAATTGAGCGTCCAACCACGACTACAAACTATGACGAGAGGGAAATGTAAAGAATGCCAGTTTGTGTAAGATATATGGAAAAGAGGTGTTCCTTACCTTGGATTGCAAAAAACTGCTTACACTTGGCAAATTAAACCGTTGCAGCACTTACAAAATGCCTTTAATTAGGTATGCCGGCTTCAAACTACGAAACACTATTTTTCCACAACCATTAACTCTTTCCGGGCAAATGTTCTTCATTGAAACAAAATTCCAGCGTTCTTATTGGCTAGAGCGCAGAGTCTTCTACCAGAGTCTTCTATCAACCCATCATGCAATGGACTGCAGTTTTATTTCTTCTTATTACTTTCCATGCGCAGTGGCCTTGGTTACAAGAGTGTTGTACGCCGGAAAGCATGCAAATTTCGAAAATTGAACTATACTTTAATCTAAAATCAAAACAATGAAACATACAGAGGAATGCAAGCAGCGATTCACAAAATATAATCTCAAACACCTTACAGCAGCTTGAAATACCAGGCATTTTGGGGAATCCAATCCATGCACTACGTGGTTATGAATTAGAATACTGAATTACTGTACCAATTAATGTTCAATTTAATGGAGTCAGAAAATGTTGCTTTTATGGTACTGCTCATGGGATGTTAGTCTAGAAGCACAGAAAAGAGACAGACTTGTCAAAATGAGCTCGTTCTGTGACTACATTTTGAAACGAAAAAGCCCTGTGACATGGCGTGAAGCATTAAAATCAAAGTAATGCCTTTTACCAGTTTCATATTCCACTACATTGTCCTTTCTTTGTGAAATGCTGTGTTCTAAACAAACTTTCCGAACTGGCATTATTGTGTTACTGAATATACGCAGCTTAAAAATATATACCGGTGTTGTGTCTGTGATTTGATTTACCTTTCAAATGAAGGAAACAGATATCTCTTCCCTTAAATGCTTGGTTTCTAGTTACATGAAATACTACACTAAAATAACAACGTACTGAAAACGTTTCTTATAAATTTAATTTTCTACACCAATGTTCTCTCATATAACATGAAATGTATTCCTTTACAATTACAAACTCCATAAAATCGTAATTCTTCGTACTGTGTCGGTAAAAATCGGTTCGAATCGATGGTTTGTCACCACGGTTATTACATGGAGTAAAATTTCCACCATATCCCACATCCGAAGGTCGGAGTCGCGGTTACTATAGTTTTCATTAACAGTGGTTTCAGTTTGTTCTACAGCAATTCTGAAATCTGATTCCAAGAGTTCGTACAGCTAATGAATGGAAACTAACTGAAGCAGATGCCTGCGGCAAATTTATAGCTTCCTGGAAACTTCTACTTATTATTATTATTATTATTACAACTTTTAAAATGAATGTTTTCCATAATCCTAACGTTAGTCGTCTTCAACTTGATAGTCCTTTGCTTGCATGTCACGATATATCCTTCTAATGCCAGATCACTAAACTCTACGTGCTTTAAGTGGCATGTCTACTGTATAATCTTTATGGTCCTTATACTTCCTAATCCATGGGCAGCAGTACTTTACCCAATCTCTTTTAAGATGGACTCTTCAGATACGTAATTACCATCATTACGATCGATTACGATACTGTGCGGGTCCAGTGTTTATGGAGATTTGCACTCTTGTAAACAAGGGCAGAAATTACACCTAGCTTGTTTCCATGGATTATTTTTAGCACCGAGGTGCAAAGAATTCTTTTCTGCTGAACTGACTGCACTCACTGCTTAAGATTATCTCATTGAAAAGTGCCGTATTTATCTAGAATTTATATGAAACATAACACCTGATGCGTTGATTGTGCTATGAACCTTTCACAGAAAAGTAATTTTCTTGACATTTACCATCCTTCCGTGAAATTACGACAGCCATGCTATTACGTTGGCGACCTGTGCCCACAATTCAGAGGAACAATGCCTTATATGCAATTATCAGCGCAATGGGGAGGTGGTGGTGCTGGCTGGTTTAAGGTTAATGTAGTGGTGTGAATTCCTGAGTGGCAAAGGAAACAGTTGATACCAAAGTGTATGAAGACTAGTGCGTGTTCAGGACAAATTGTTGTAACCTCCGTGATGTTGAACTGAACTCTTATAATTCTTTTGGAGATATTTCATTTTGATTTTATCATTATAACCTTGTTGCCTAATCTTCTGTAACAATGCGATATGCACAACTGGTTATGGGACCCGCTGGATGTGGAAAGGTAAAATTAGCCCAATTAACGTAACATTTCGGAGAGTAAAGAGAAATCCGAAGACTCTAGATTGCCCATTTTGTTTTCCAGATATGTATAAGAACCAGAATATTTGCTGCATCATATGTCACATTAGGAAATTATTTTTTGTTTCTGTTAATAAAAGATGCTGTATATACAAAATCCTCACAATTTTAGGTATCCTTCCTTTACTGATATTCACAGCAAACCCTGAGAAGTTTGGCAAGACATCCAGTTTGTGGCAGTAGCTTTTAGACAGTTCAGTTGAACACCTTCAGTCATACAATCACAATGCAACACACAGGACATAAACGAGTATATGTAGCAAAACGAACAAATACTGCACGAAACTACCAGTATATGTAACATATGCAAACAATACAAAAGAAGTAACATATAACAAGAAGCAAGAAGACAGTACAATGTTCATACCTCATATATTATAACTAAACATAATTTCATAATATTAGACAAAACATTATATATATAATTTTAAAGACTTTTCTTTTAATGTATGCTTTCTGAAGATGACCCGTGTGGGCTGAAACATGCTGAAGTCAGTGAAATGAATTTGATTTGTTTCATTCTGGTCCGTCACACTAACAATTATAAATACAAACCACTCCGTCCAGTGTGACATATAAGTTTTTACTATGCTAAAACTTATCTCCCTTACATGTTTCGGTCCTTACGGGCCATCTTCAGAGGGAACATCATTACAAACTGGAAATTTAAAATACATACTTATAACCTATAGTACACAGTACGCATAAAGTAGAACGTTTCACAATCACAGCAGCTTCCTGGTGTTGTAAAGTGTTTAAAAGTTTCTGAATGTTATTTAAAAAACCTTTATTGTCAATAGATACAATTTTTTAAACCAAGTAGGTTTGTGTCTGTACTCCTATTGTCCTTGTATGGGCAGACTTTGTGCCACCTGTCTATCTTGATGTTCAGGGTTTGTTTGTGGCTTGCTGTGTTGTTTTCACTCAATAAAGAACTGTGTGACTTTATGCGTACTGTGCATTATAGGATATAAGTGTATGTATTTTAAATCAAAACACCTATTGTGATGGTAGTTTCCAGTTTGTAATGATGTTCCCTCTGAAGATGGCCTGTAAGGACCGAAACATGTAAGGAAGATAAGTTTTAATGTAGTAAAAACTTATATGTCACATTGGATGGAGTGGTTTGTATTTATATCAGTAAAATGAATTGCCTCATACATGTTACACTGGATGGTACTCATAACCATAACAATTACTTCTCTGTCTCTAACCGTGTGTTGCTTCTCCTATAGAACTTAAAAATTTGATTTATATTACATTGGCCTGAGCCTGGAATATCTGAAATAATATGCAGGGTCTTTGAGAAGTCTGCTGAGCTATTCAAGAACCTTGCCTGAAGTCATTATCACTGTATGTCTAACAACTGGACTTTATCCTGAGGCACATGAATCCAATCCTGTTCACATTCTCACACCAAATTTCTCAGTATCCATCCAAATTTTAATCTATCTGTGCATAGGTTCTGCAGCGGCCTCTACCCTTCATGTTTCCTAACTTAATTTTTTATTCACCTACAATATGCAGATAACCCACAGGACTAACCCAACAAGGTCTCGAATTACTGTGTAGTATTTGATTCATACAATTATAACTTAAATCATTTTACCGTGGCTACTGTTAATACCGATGCTAATTCATCTTCTTAAATAAATGTTCATGAAGGCTTAACAAGGAATGCATATATTCATAATTTGAATCATTTATTTCATTTACAAGTGTGTACACATGTATTTGTAATGAAACAGAAAAGTTGCATGTAAACCAATCCTTAAGGGAATATACCCATGCCAGGGGGGGATCTGCCACCACCTCCAGGAATTTTGACAGAACATCACAATTGAAGGGAAAACAAAAATTAATATAATCAAAAAAGTATTTATTTTTCCATCCCGAATACTCCAGAGCAGTGGTTCATCAAGCCTGGCTTGGTGGTCCATGAGATTATTTTTGTGCTCCCATTATAAACGAGAAGGGAAAAAATACTGTGCTGCTGAATATTTTTAATATTTTACAAAATATGTTTACCTTGTATAATGGTACAACGAATACTTTGGACTGGAAACTGCAAATGGGTATCTCTGATGCACTGTGCGGGCTCTGTCACCTTTGTCATTAAACACATGTAGTAGGAAAGTGTATGGTGACAGGCATTAACATTTCGTAAACACTGCTAAAGAATTAAAACATTTTTAATTAATTATTTTATTTGAATCAGTTTTAAGCTGATATGCAGCAATTTAAATGTTGAAGGAGGTTACCTGAATATGCAGTGTGCTGCTAGGGGGTCCGAAGATTAAAAAAAAAAAAAAAGAGTTTGAGAACCACTGTTGTTGGGGGATCCATAAGAATATTTTTAAATGGCTGAAATGTAAGTCTGTGAGGAAATTTTCTGGCCATTGTTTAATCTGACATACAACTCAATGCCCTGTTGTGTGGGTAGCACCCTCATTATTCTGGAGGCAGTATGTTCAGATCTCTAGCCTGACCCGAGGTCTTCATGGTTTTCTCACTCCCTCCAGGAAAATTCTAGAATAGCACCCCAAATTATGACACGACTTTCCTTTCACATCCTCTGCAGTCCACTAATACTACACTTCATTGCTACATAATCTGAACTACTGATACTGTTAAATAAATCACAGATAAGAAACAAAAACAGTCACATCAGAAATTGTGACCGTTTCTGTATCTCCATATGTAAGACAGAAGTAAAGATGGTGAATGTGTATAAATGTTTGCAGTCCACATACTGTTCCACAATAGTCAGACATGCAGCAGATGAAAGGAAGACTATCGACGTTGTGAACCTGGATCCTGCGGCTGAATATTTTGATTATCAACCCCTAGTCGATATCAGGGAACTTATTCACTTGGATGATGTAATGGCTGATGGTGAACTCAAATTTGGACCCAATGGTGGCCTTGTGTTTTGTATGGAGTGAGTATATTGCTTTACAAACCATTAGGTTTATCATAATCTGATTGAAGTAGGGTAGCTCAGTCACCATAGTAACTAGGATATATAGGCTGGATGATGGGTGAATTGGGGTTTGATCCTTGGCAAGAGCAGAAGCTTTACTTTGAAGCTTCACTCAGCCTATGCAGTGAGTTACGGGGGCTCCCTCCCCTTGGCATGAAGCTGACCATTCACCTCCACCTAGGGCCAAAGGTTAAGAATGGAGCTGTACATGAACTCCCGTCTCCATGGCACTGTGTATAAGTAATAATAGGAATTTTACCTTAGCTTCTTTAATGGTACTGTTTCAGTTCGATAAGCAGTGAGACTGTGCAGAAGGTAAATGGTGACTACTTAAAAGTTTTGGAAGGAGGGGGCTGTGGCTGATTTCAGGCACTATCTTGACATTCACTTGGAAAGAGTGAGAAAAACTAAGATAACCCTGCAGAGGGTACTAGTAACCTGCTAAAATGTGAAACCAGTGTTTCAGGTATCTCCTGTGTCTCCGTCATCAGGGTTGATCAACTGAGATGGAGACCAAGGAGATCTCTAAAACATTGGTTTTTAGTTCAACTGTGGATTTTAACACACTTACTCACTGTGAAAACTTAAAATCTCGCATGCTAGTAATCTGCACAAGGTTTGATTGTTGCAGCTAGAATGGGGCAGGCAAGGAATGTAAACAATTTTGTTGGGGAAATGGCCACTTGGAAGATCACAGATGTAGAAGGAAAACCTTGCACTATAATATTGTTTTGTTTCTATCAAAGCTGTAACATTAAGATGAATTTCTTGGGAACAGGTTCTGAATATCAGAATAGGACAGAACTGGCTCAGAATCTTGTACTATCATTGGCTTTGGTAATAGGGATGTTCTGTCATCATAATGTTGGTCTTTATGAGACTGAAGGTTCTCGCTGTGATAAATATTATGATTAGTTTTCTGGGATGTGCTGCTATATTGTGTGGTATAGAAACTTGCTACAACAATGTTCAGGGTAGAAGAGGGTACTCCAAAGATGCGGACAGCAAGTTCCTCAAAATGTTGGTGCCTCTCTACCATTCTAGATGGCATCACATCTCAGGAAGACTAAGTATGTTTTAATTTTCAGAGCCTGAAAGTTATTCTGCCTGTTGCAGGTATTTAATGGAGAACCCTGACTGGCTGGAGGAGCAGCTCGGTGATGTGGATGACGACTATGTTTTGTTCGACTGCCCTGGCCAGATAGAACTGTACACACACATGACCATCATGCGACAACTCGTGGACCTGCTCCAGCAGCGCTGGAACTTTCGTGTGTGTGGTGTGTTTCTGGTGGACTCGCAGTTCATGGTGGATGGATCCAAGTTTCTGTCAGGAACAATGGCAGCTCTCAGTGCGATGGTGAACTTGGAGCTTCCCCACATCAACATTCTCACCAAGATGGACCTGCTCAGTAAGAGTGCAAGGAACCAGATTGACAGGTTAGTAAAGAGCAGCCCTGATATTCAACAGCAAGGAGGTTTTTACCACAATAATGTTCTAAATGTGTTTCAGGGAGGTCCTTGGCTCAAATCTCAGCCCCACTATAGACTGTCCTGACTGATCTCTTCAGTAGTACTAGGGATGTAACCTGTTGCAATTCCATGTCACATTTCTAGTGGTCTTCCTAGATTTTTGTTCCAGCTAGGCTTTTAATGATTTTATGCCTTTTTTGGTTGTCAGCGCTGCCCGATTTTCTGAGAAGTAGTGGGTCTGGAACGGGGTCCACTCAGCCTCATGAGGATAATTGAGAAGCTATTTCAAGGAAATAGTCCAGTCTAGAAAATTGAGATTAAAGGCCATGGGGATTTGTTGCGCTGACCACGTGACAACCTCTATGTGCAAAAGTTGGCACCACCTTTGCCAACAAGCGGCAGTCAGTCAGTCGGTATAGCTCACTTTCGGACTATAGGCCACAGAGTTTGGAACTATGTAGTTTTTGCCTCTTGTGACATAAAGGCTGGAAGTTTGTAATTTTATATTGTTCACATTTATTTGTGGAGAATGATCTACGAGTACAGGTCTTCATTCTTAGCCATATATGTCTCCTAATTCCATGAATGATAAAATCATCCCTAATGGAACTGACAAAAGTAGACTATCTTAACCATTTCCTGTAATGTGTTGGAAGTCTTGCAGTACTTTTCATTTTCCCATATAGGTTCATGTTTGAAGCCTTCTCCCACCAAATTTGTGGTGTTAACCAACACATCAGGATCATGAGCTCAGTGTTACCTCTGCTAACATCTGTTTTAATCATCCTATACCATAGTCCTTTTACTTTTATTTCTGCACAAATTAATTTGTAGTCTGTAGGAGCGTCACTGGAAAAATAGGATGTGGAATGGTTAATGTCAAATGAAGTGTGCTTCATTTGCCAGCCTGTCAGTCTTATGCTACAGAATGAATTTCTGTACCTATTCATATTTGCTTTGCTGTCAAGGTACTTGCAGCCTGACCCCCACAGCCTGCTGGGAGATGTGCAGACGGGATCAAAGTGGAGTGAAAAGTATCGTCATCTAACAGATGCTATTGGTCGCCTTGTGGAGGACTACAGTCTAGTGAGGTTCTATCCTCTTAACATCAAGGACGAGGAGAATATTGCTGATCTTCTGCTCATGATAGACAACATGATCCAGTATGGAGAGGAAGCCGATGTGAAGACGCGTGACTTTGAATATGAGGATGGGGATGGTGATGATGGAGGAGATGAGTCTTAGATCATTCAGTGATAAACATCTGGTCTTTCACCTGAAGATGGAGACAGAATCCAGTCTCCAAAACGTTCTGTGTTTTAAATAAAAACAGGACACTGGATAATGTCCAGAAACACAGTAACTATATTAATATACAATCATCACAAACTTTTATCTCATTTGCTTTATCAGCTATTTACCTCCATAATGTAAAGTGATTGCAATGGAAAAGGACTCCCAGGTAGATCTTTCAAGTGATTAACTTATTCACTGCCATTCCTCTGTACTGGGATTTAACCTGCTGGTCCACCATTTTTCCACAAAATCTGAATTTTGAAGTTACTACATTCAAAATGGAAATCAAAGCGAACAAGTGAAAACAACTGACAATCCCCAAATATTTTATTTATTTTTTTTTTTTTTTGCTTTGGCAACTATGCTTAAAGTTTCTCTGCATTTAAGTATCAAGCATCTGTAGGAGAAAATTATATTTATGTTCACAGAGGCAGCAGCCCATCACTTGACAAAACAAAGTAGACTTTACCTGTGGGGTAGTGAGATTTGCCATGAATAAGGGAGCATACCCAGAAATCAAATGTAAATATGAACTCAATTTTTAAAATAAATGTACAGGTTACAAATTCTCTGTCCTTCATTTCAAAGTGTTAAAAACCCACTGGGATAGCCTTAACACCTGAAACAAATCACCATCCTCATGAATTATTTGCAGCCCCACACACCAAACCCAAATTTCTCCTGTTCCAAGCATAAAATCATACAGAAACAAAGTTCTATTCAATAATGCTGTTCAGGTTACCTCAACTTAAAGCTTGCATTTGGTTTGGCCCATCACTTTTCAGAAGTCTGCTCTGCTGCTTCTGCAATCCGTTTTTCTTGTGCTCGCTTCTGTTGTGTCAGAAAATTGTAGAATGAATCTCGCTCCTTCTGTTCTTCAATTTCTGCAGCAAAATGAAGGTTCACAAGCGGAGGGAAATGAACTAAGAAGTAAACTGTATATCAAGAGAATGTAGGAACAGTTCAATAATTTGCAGTTCCAAGTTCTGAATGTAAATTGGTAAAACAAAGATAACTGCATCATAAAATTCTCTTCACTAAAACGATCAAGTTCAAACCCAGTTATGTCACTAAAGCACAGTATGTCCCATTCAGAGACAGGCTGAAATACTGTGAACCATCAATGTAAGATTTCTTTTATGAGCAGGGAGTCACTAACTCATGGAGCTGAGCCCTTCTTGAGAAGCCGCCAATTGTGCAGCTAATCAAAAATTTTCCCTCTGTGTTTACGTCTAGACCAACCTCCTTATCAGCATCAGTTAAAGTTTGTGCACTTTTCTTTATGGTATCTATATTATCACCCCGAAGGTTCACATCATCAGCATAGACCAAGAATTGATATGTCCCATTTAATTTCAGTCCCACCTGGATTTCCTGGACCTTCCTAATGGCATATTCTAAAGCAAAGCTGAGATCATGACGATAAGGCATCTCCTTGTTTTAGACCATTCTGGATAGGAAAACTGTCAGACAAATGTTTACCTATATGGACTTTACTATACGTTTTGTTTAAACACATTTTAATCAGCCTAACTAGTTTCATGGTTACCCCAAACTCTATGAGAATATTGTATAATACTTCCCTCCTAACTGAATTATAGGCTTTCATCAAGTCTATGAATAGCTCATGTACTGTCTCATTGTACTCCCATTTTTTTCTCCAGTATCTGACAAATGAAAATGATCTGATCAGTAGTTGATCTGCTATGTCGAAACCCACACTGATGATCCCCAATAATTTCATCATGTATGGACGTATGTATGAAAGAAGAATATTGGATAAAATATTATATGAAATTGATAGCAGTGATATCCACCAATAATTACCACAGCCAGTTTTATCACCCTTCTTGTGAAGTGGTACAATAATAGACTCCTTCCACTGATCAGTCAATTTCTCCTTATTCCAAAAACAGGGTGGGCCAGACTCAATTAGGCAGTTTTTGATTATTAATAACTAACCAATCCAACAACACATGGGATAATGGGAAAGTACCTTTTGTTGTCGATATGTGGCATCATTATACGGTATGCTGTGAACGAGGTCAATACTCTGCCTACTTAGTGCACATCGAGGAAACGTCATGGCCGGTAGGTGGTTGTCTATCGAGCAGCGTGTAAAATGTGTGTGCCTTTTCTCAGTTACTAACAATGTATCAGAAGTCCAGCACAAGATGTTGGAAGAGTTTGGACCGCCAGCAGTCCACAGGGACACAATCATCCGAATAAACAAACAGTTTGATAAAACTGCCAGTGCTTTGAATCCCAAGCATCCTGGTCAGCCGAGAACTGTCCGAACTGCTGACACACAAGCACATGTTGCTGCGGAACTGGCATCATCTCCTCAGAAATCGAAGTCTACCCGCTGTTTGTTGGCCCTACTGGACATTTCGAGGACAAGTTTGCGGAGAGTTTTGAGTGACATGAAGCTGACGCCATACCATCCATGGCTTATTGATGTTCTTAACGAGGACGACTTCGACAAGCGACTTGAGTTCACCGAGTTGATGCTGACCAAGTTTCAGGAGAACCCTGACCTTATCCGGAATATTGTCTGGACTGATGAGGCCAAATTTCACACATCAGGATTGGTACAACTGCGTGTTTTGGCGGCCAGAGAACCCCAGTGAATATGTGTAGAAAGGCGTGTGAAAATGTTGCTTTGCGTCTGCAAGCCTGTGTTGACTTAGGTGGTGCCCAGGTTGACCAGCATCTTGAAAATAGATGACTTATCTGTGTGCGATTCCATTTTTGTAACCATTGCAATTGTTAACATTTATCAATAAACATAACATCTAATCAAAAACTGCCTAATTGAGTCTGGCCCACCCTGTAGAATTAATTAGCTTACGGATCTTAGAACGTAATATTTCACCTCCTGCTTTCTGCCAGAATTTGATCACTATCTGGCAATTTATACCTTTTCAATTTTGCAACAGCAATTTCAACCTCAAAAGGGCTAGGATCAGGTACTGACAGCTCAGCTGTAAGGATTTCTGTCTGCCTAACATCACTGGCCATATGCACATTCAATAACAGAGAAGTAGTTCTTACACTTATTCAAAATGTTGTGGGAATCTGCAAGCAGATCACCATTCTCATCCTTCACTAAGTTACGGCTAGGCTGGTACCCCCACTTAAAGTCATTTACTCCTCTATACAGGTCTCTATTCTTGTTCTTACTGTTCATTGCAAGCTCATCAATTCTCTCTTTCAGACATTCCGTCTTTTTTCTTGAAATGCCTGTTGGTTTCAGGTCTTATATTGTTCAGATTATCCCAGTTTATTTAATTTTGACATTAAATTGAAGGAAATCTTAAATGGAGGCAATTTAACACTGATTATTCATTCCCTTGGGATCAGTGAAGTAGAATGTTACCTAACAGAAACATCTGATGGGGGTTCCACTATACTGAGTTACACATGAGTGCATAAATATCTGAAGTTGTTTCCTCCTCTCCTCTTTAACACTGAGCGCTCGGCCTGATGACTGCAGTGGGACAACAGCATTGAAGCTCAGGTTCTTGTGGCAGTGACTATGAAGAGTGAAGTCTTTTAGGTTGTAACAACATGTAGTTCGGAGACAGACCAACATTTCAGAGTAACATCATGCTTTCATCTTCAGGGTCAAAGAGTGAGTCAAGCAAGAAATCAGCAGACACAGGTGACAAGCTAGCTTATCTAAGCCGTACACTCCTCTGAAACACTGGGCAGTCTCTGAGCTACACAGAAGACCACATGCTTCATACTCATCACCAATAAAACTTCAAAAGCAACGCTGAATATAGAAGTGTTACTCTCCTTTGAAGTTTCTTTTATTAACGTGCCTCTGAGACTTGGGTGAAATCCAAGGCAGATGAAAGATTACCAGCTCTATTTGAAAGAAGAGTTCTCAGCTGCATTTTTGGAGTAGTGCAGGATAAGGGTACATGGAAGAAGAGATATAACCATGAATTGTCTAAGCTATTTAATGAGCCAGATATTAGTAAATATATATAAATAAACATATTAAACTGAGCTGGACATATTATGTATGAAAAATAGTAGAACAATCAAGATGTTTCCATACCAGACCTGAAGGGACTAGGAAATTGGGAGGCCCAAATTGAGAGGGGAGGATGATATGATCCAGGATATCAGGGCCCTGGAAGTGAAGAATTGGAGAGGCATGTGGCTAGGAATAAAGCAGACCAGCTGAAGGCTCTGAAGACTGCCAGGATCCAAACAGCACTGTCGAGCCAATCATGATGCTTTGGTTTATATATTGTGACACTAACAAAGAAAGCAATGACATTGTGGACAAAGAGTGTGTACATTTGCTAATGCTGCTATAATTGTTTCATAAGTTGCAGAGCAATGAACTACTACATCGAAAGCTGGGTACTGAAAAACTGATCACCTTACCTTGCATTACCAACTGAATAAGACTGAGTACGACTGAGACCATGCAACATCCTACCTTCTTCTGTGAGATGTGGTACGTTCTCCTCTCCTTCCTCATCTTCACTGCTCTCATTGGCAGGATGCTTTAGGTAGACGTCAGCCAGTTCCTGTCCCATTGGCACTTCGGTCACCAGGGAAACAGGTTTCCCCTCCCCCTCTATTACCTGCTTCATCTTCTGTTCTTGCTGCCTCATCTCTTCGACCTGCTTCTCCTTCTTGATTCGTTCCCATTCTACTCTGTAATCTCTGTCACAACAGAACATATAAGTTTCTATTAATTTAATTTTACCGACAGCTACTGCATAAGACTAAATATTTGAAAGTAAAGCACAGGGTAGAAGGAAACTGGGAATGTCAACACTGAAATGGTTTGAAGGTGCAGAGAATAATATATGAGAGCCGCGTGTGAGGAGACAGAGGCACAAGGCAAATAACAGAATGGGCATCTGTAGTGAGCAAGTAAATTCTATATAGTCTTCTGTTAGCAAATGGCAGTTCTTCACACCAAGCAAACTGGCGTGAGTGGTAATGCTTCTGAGTATGTTCAAGTGATGCCTTGTTTGAATTTTTCCCAGAACACAAACTATCCAAACTGGGACTTTTTGTGGTCGTCCTTAGTCCCTCGCTTAGGCCACAATGATTCTTCCCACATCATTCACTAATCATCCTGCCACTCAACAAGTTATGTACAGAATCATTAAAGAAAACAAACTAAAAACAGGCAGACAGCAAGCAGAGCTTGTTGCCTTGTTCATGCTGATTTCTTGCTTGGCTTATTCTTTGAGCCTGATGATTTAGTTGACATGTTCCTCCAAATGTCAATTCACTGCACAGCATTATATCCCTAAAGGCAGAACTCTTCATAACCACGCCTGTGAGAACAACAAGTCCTACATATGAAATCAAAATGTATTCATATAATTAAACAAAGGAAAGGGAATGAAGTCTGAAACTGCACCCCAATATTCTACCTCAGTAGCCTTTCCTACGATAAATACTTGAAAGTGTATGGAGTAAAATTAATAAATTTTGGTCTTCTCCATTAAATCTCATCAAACATGTGATGCAGGTGCTGTGCATTTACAATACTTCAGAAGGGACATGTTTCGAAACTGTGCATCCTGAAATTCTGTAAAGCAACCCAAGGGCCACTCTGCTACCCTGAAGGTGAAGGCAGAACATTCCTCCAAAGTGTTGGTAATAATCTACCAGACTGCACTGCATCACAATCCAGAAGACAGTGATCTTCACGATACCAAACATGAGAACCTCAGTCCTCACACAGAAAATACTCTGTAAATGAAGTGACACCCACTTTTCATACTCGTCTGCTGCATCCTGAACCAGTGTAAGGAACTGTGACACTCCAGCACCAGTCAGTGCTGACACACCAACACACCGCAAGCTGTTGTAGAACTCGTCCAAAGCAAGCGACATGGATCGTGTCAGGTTCGAGATGTAAGAAGTTTCTGACTCCAAGGCTTCTTGGAAAGCTTCAAAGTCACGCATCCACTCCACTGCATATGAATGCTCCACAACATCCACCTGTAGATTACATAATGGTCAGTGAGACATGGAGATACATTATAAATCTTACAATATTTTGAACATTAGAAAGTAACCATGTACCTTGTTCATGGCCACAATGAATGGCAGCTTAGTCTTGTAGAGAATGGAGCAGGCATACAGCATGTTAGACATGAATGTGACGGGATTCACGCTGCGTATCGTATCCATTACATACACAACTACAGTGGGGAATGTGGATGCCAGGGCTTCAGTCACAATGTTCCCTGAGGCAGACCATGTGAACACCTCAATTTGGCCTGGAGTGTCAATCACAGCTATTTCATGTGTAGAGGAGGCCTTTTCCAGGAGGGAGATTACCTCATTAAACTTAGTAGCAAAGAGGTTCAGGGAGGTGACAATGGCTCCATTGGGACCCAGGCCATACTGTTTCATAACCTCCTTGTAGTTCACGGTGTCTCGTATGTCTGGAACATTCAACAGAACTTGTGTAAAATGTAAAAGGGCAAAAAACTGAATATGAAAGAAACCATGAGGGAGAGTCAGTAAATAGGTCACAAACAAAAGTAAGACAGCTGCAATGGATGTAATAGGTTTCTTATTCATTAGGTAGCAGCATTGTCCAGCTTCATGACAGTCTACGTTGCAGATTCACATATGCATGTTCAGAGGCTAGTTTTAGTAGTCAAAATGGCAACTATACATGAGGATTGTCCTGCTGAAGAGCAGCATTCTTTTGTGCATTTATTCTGGGCAAAAGGACTCAATGCAAAGGATTTCATAAAGAAATGTTTCCTTTTTATGGTAGGAAGTGTTTTTCATGTAAGGCGGTTCAGCCTTGGTGGCAAACGTTTCGTTAATGAAGAGGATGAAATGGAGGTGCGGAAGTGGCTCGGACAACAGTCAAGAGACTTCTATGCTGCAGGTTTCAATGCAATAGTAAAGCGATGGGACAAGTGTATCAATGTTGGTGGAGGATATTTCGAGAATGTTTTTTCCAGATTTGAATATCACATGTTTTATATTTTATATCCATTTGTGATGTATTTACTGATTCTTCCTCACACATAATGTGGACAGTACCAAAACTAATAAGAACTGGTTTCTATCACATTATTTTATTACTTACTTACTTACTTACTTACTTACTCATGGAGCTGAGCCCTTCTTGAGGAGCCNCCTTCTGGCTTTCCCACCAATATCCTATACGCATTCCTCGTCTCCCCCATTCGTGCTACATGACCTGCCCACCTCATCCTCCTTGACTTGATCATTCTAATTATACTTGGAGAAGAGTACAAGTTATGAAGCTCCTCATTATGCAGTTTTCTCCAACCTCCTGTCACTTCATCTCTCTTCGGTCAAAATATTCTCCTCAACACCCTGTTCTCAAACACCCTCAGGCTATGTTCCTCCCTTAATGTCAGAGACCAAGTTTCACACCCATACAGAACCATAGGCAAAATTATAGTTTTGTATATTCTAATTTTTATGTTTTTGGACAACAGATGAGAAGACAAAAGGTTCTGGACTGAATGATAGCAAGCATTACCCGAGTTCAATTGCCTCTTAATTTCCTCCTGAATCAGGTTTCGATCTGTTATCGTTGTTCCCAAATATCTGAACTGTGCCACATTTTCAAAACATCTGTTTCCTATCTTTATGTCATGATTTTACCCTGCATTTTGGTGACGAGACAGTAACATATACTTAGTTTTCTCTGTGTTTACTTCTAGACCAACCTCTTTACTTGCGTCAATTAAAGTTACATTATTTTATTAAGAAACAAAAAGCATCAAAATTGAGCCAGTTCTCAAAAGAGCTTTCTTTGGGGGGGGGCGCTTCCATGTCTATTAATGGTAGATTCAACAAGCCAGTTGGCCCAGGTAATAATACTTGAGCTGAAAGTGGAAGGTTTGTTTTGAATCTCAGCTAGGTCACTGGCCATCTTGACATGCTTTATGTCATTTTCCTCAATCCCTCCAGGCAAATGCTAGGTTAGTAACTTGAAACAGGCCATGCTGTCATCCACTAATCATCCCACAACATGTTTCTATTTAGTTTGAGATGCTAACAGCATTGCTAAATTAGCCATAAAGAATAATGACACAGTCGTAAGTCATCTGAACACACTGTCTGAACTAAAACATTGTATAGCTTAGAATGTGATGGGGGAAATGTTCACAACATGTGAATGCTGGCATTCTCTCCCAAAAAGAAGAGTCCAACGCATGACTGGTTACTTCATAGGCTATTTAATGATGATGTTTCTATTGCAAGGTTATGGGACAGTGAATGAACTAAGCAGTCAGTCAGACCTACTTTACGTGTTCTCATAAAAAGAATATAAAGTTGTCCCTGTGCTTAACCAATTAGGCACTATGCCACTGAGATGCATGAGGGAGTGGACATATAGTTCCATGCTTTCTTGACTTTGCACAAGTTGGAGGTGAGAGGCCAGCTTCACACCTCGGCCATTTTATTGTTAGGGAAAAATCCCCAGCGCCCATTGGATAGGAGGCTGGGTGGGCCCCACAGCCGGTCTGGACGACATAGAGGAGGGAAAATTCTTGACCCTACCAGGACTTGAACTCCAACACCTCAGTCATCCAACCCAGGGCCAGTTGTTATACTGACTATGCTATCCCATTATTTTATGTTGTTATATGTTCTCATGGCAGTAAATATTAAGCATATGGCCTTCTGGGATATGCCACTACGTTTTGATATACAGGTTCCTCCAAAAGCTGGTAAATATCTATCAAGCTATGCAGCAAATTCATTAAGGGTTCTACACCAGCATTTGCCTGAAAAGACTGAAAATCATGGAAACTTGGCCAATGTTTGTAACTGTGTACTTCTGAGATACAAGTCCACAGCATTTCTACTACATCAAAGCTGATCAGTTCCTACAATGTCATGATTACCTTCATGGCCCCTACATATCTGGATGGAACATGGACAGCTTTACCTTTGAAGATGACTGTCCTCTGGAAAGTGACCACATAGTATGGTGTCCTGAGGGAATCTGTTGCCTCTATCTTCAGTATTGGAGAAAATGGAGCAGGAATCCAGAATTTTGGCAAACATCTACCAGACTACATGGCATCATATCATAGAGGACAGTATCTACCAAGTCACTGTCACAAGAATCCTGAATCTCACAACTTTACGTTTCATTGAAACAGGCAGCATGAACTTGGAGAACCCTAACTGAATGTACAAGCAAATGAACAGTCTTGGAAATATACACTGTCACTGTTTGTATAATTAACAGAACTTGCACATTTTGAAACCCTCTTCTGGATGACTGTAACTTTGTTCAAACAGCCACAATCTTTTGTTGATGATCTGAAGGATCCATTCTGTTTGACTTTCATGAACATTACTCAAATATTTTTACAGATATTACACAGGGAAAGGCAAATTGACACTGGCTTCTCACCATAAAGCCTTGTGCTCAATTTCAAGTGACTTTATGCAAGATTCATGGTGGATGAAGAGGCACTGGAGTAAGCTTTTCTCTGAGTTTCCTAAGTTTTCCCTGCTAATCATCACTGAACCATCACTCTATACTTGTGTATTATAGCTCTTTGAGATAGTTGGAGGGAGGGGGGGCTCCACTCAGTACTCGGCTGGTTACATAGAAAGGAACTTAAGTTATGTATGGTTATGAACAGTACTGTCTTTTGGGATATAATGCCATGTAGTCCACTGAAAGTCAACTGACATTCTGGTGGAATGTCTCACCATCTTCAGAGTCAAATAAGCCAAGCAAGATACCAGTGTGAAAGCATGTGGTTAGCTTGCTCAGCTAATTTGACCCCGAAGATGGAGGTGAAATGTTCCTCCAAAATGTCAGTTGACTTTCAGCAGGTTGCATGACGTTATATTCCAGAAGACAGTACCCTTCAACTTATGTCTAAATAAACAGGAAATTCAAAATACAAGACAGAAGCTTTTGGAAACCAGTCCAACTTAAAACACTGTCATGAAGCAGTATGGCAATATGTAAACTGAATCATAATTATCAACCTATATTTGCTGGGTATGGGACCTCTAGGCATGCTGGATCCAGATTTATTGCATATGGCCGGTGCTTTTGTCCATAGAGATGTGATACCAGCCTCTGGACAAATGTAGTTTTCCCAGAACCAGCCATACCCAACACAATGAGGCACACTGGACGACGCACGTTACTCGCAGCCACAGCACCTGCTGGGCCTTCTTCAGTCATCTCTTGAGAACCAGACATGTTCTGCAAACAGAAACAAACGTTTGTGTCTTGAGAGTGGTCTTCTGCGATGTGTAATTTGGTACATAGGTGACTATTTTCAGATGACCATGACCAACTGACTGCTAAATTACTGCTAGCTCTTGCCAGCACAGCGATTCTTTGTTCTGGGTCTCGCAATACTCATGACCATATTCTGCTGTCTGATGGCTCTCGGTACAACTCCAGTCACTCCAGATGATAATGATAACCTCTGATGTAGCTGTATAAAATAAGCTGAGGACTACCGAGAAAACTGCAAGAACTTGGGGCAAAATTAATATTTTTATAGTGATATTCAGTGATATTAGGTTTTCTAACATAACTACTGCCCATCTGTTTAGAGCCGGTTGTTCTCAACTGAATGAGCATTGGATTTAATCATGTCTATTAGATGAAATAAGGATTGAAGGGAGTGTATGGGCCAGTCAAAGATATCATCCTCATTCCTTCCCAATGGTGTTGCTGCAACTGCCACCTCACTACTTCATGACACACTTCTCTTTTGCTTGCACGCAACCCAGAGGCTACATCTAAACACTGCCTAAAGATGAACTGTTGCTTCCTTCTGCTGCCTACAAAATCTGTAATGTTATTACAGTGCCAAGAAAGCCACTAGTGCCTGCACTATAGTTCTCTGATATAATCTTATGCCAGTGCCATCTGTCAACTGGTTGTATGCAATTTCTAAGTGACTTTCTATTTTGTGGGTTACTTTATGACATGGTCAGTGTTTAGACTATATAGTGTGGATGACAGGATAAGTAGTGAATTGTACAGGATGCAGGAAGAAGCAGACAGTGTCTAACTGAGGTACCATTCTGGGATCTGCTTGAAGGGACTGAACAGAACCAAAGTTGTCAAGACAGTCAGTGTCCTAACTCAGATGCAAACTGAGCACCTCCCCAATACAAGTGTTGAGAGTTACAGCTATGCCAGTGCACTCAGTATTTACAGAAATGTGTCCCCTGCAGCTTGTACGTATTACAATGCTTAACAGTGTCTGAAATTACCAACAATTGTGTAAAAATTATGTCTCATCATTTGGTCTGGGCCAGAACATACAATCAAGCAGAAAGTGAATATGATAAGCAGAACAAACAAAAGATGCTTATACTGTGACTCAAAGAATATTATACAATTATGTATTACTGTATTTTGAGACTAGAGGGTCTTTACTTGCTCAGTGAAAGTACAGGTGAGAAAGAAAAGTAACGCATTAGAAATAGACAATTAGTAACAGCCAACTGAATGTCAGTTGAAACGACATTGTACTAAATTATGGGCCTGTATGAAGTTGATTTTTCGTAACTTTGTAGTTACCTGCGCACATTCATAAATTAAAATGAATTTTTTGTACTCTTGTATGTACTCTAAAACTGTCTGATTTTAATTACTGGTACACAGAGCAGCATACAAAAGGCAAAACCAAGAACAACCAAGAATGCGAAATAATATGCTTCGGACAGACAACAGAGAAATATTTTCGATCCCAATTCCCCGTTAAAATAATATAATGGCAAATTACTGTGAATATCTAGGGCAATGGCGATCACTAATCAATTTTAGTATGCCTTGCAATGTATTATGTTTTGGGGTTATGTCTTGATCACGGAACCTAATGTGTAAACAGTGATGCAGTTGAAGTTAATCGACACTTTTGTAAATTAATTTCCGCAACTACAAATGATGACTTTCCAAAATACGGTTAATTTCGTACCTTACTTCCTCCGCTCGAACAAACTCAACACAAATTATGCTTGTTTTCCTACATTCTTATGAAATACAACCTGCAAGACAAACCACGGTTCCTAGGCAAAGCATCTAAAGTATACAAAAACGGATCATCACTATATGTCATTAACCATGAAATTTACTACATAATGATACCGCTTGTAGCGCTATACACAGTTCTGTATTAGTAATTCATGACCAGTTTTCTTTCAAACACGAATTTCTTGGCGAATAATGTACCACACGACAAATTGGATTAAAAAATGCATTTCTAAAGTAAAGTACCAGCTATCTGTAGTGTACTTTTCTATTTTAATAAAAGAAATTGGTTTATGAGGTCATGATTCTTTGTTATCTCCTGGTTCAACTTTTGAATTAGTTGACCAAGTTTCGTTAAAGGAGCGACCCTAGCACCACGTAATCATTAATAGTGAAATTACGTATAGTACTACATTTTACAAATAAATCATTCGAAACTGTGGCTTTGTTCATGAGTTTTTTGTTATGGTGCTGGTGGGATCTGGATATCTTGCATCAAATGGTAGTATGACTGACTGTTTGGTGTTCAGTTTTGACCTAATTGAGGTACTATTCCAGCATATGAGTGAAAGCACTGAAGAAAACGAAAACGTTCTTGTGTATTTCTTTTGATACTTACTGCTTTCAACATTCTGTAACACTGCATCTTTTTACATGTCCAAAAGTTGTGTTATTGTACCACGTATCACAATTTTTGAATATTCAAGAATAATCTGTTAAATTAAAACATTTAAACCTCCTCATGAACAGCCATGGAAAGAAAAAAAACTCTCATCTGTTAAAGTTAGCTGAAAAGTTAAGTGCTATGTGAGGTTACCTTCTCTAAGTACATGAAATTAGTGTCCTCATACATGACTTTCCTCACTTTAGTGTACTAAAGACAACAACATATATTGGAAGTTCACACTGGGGGAAAAAACATGTAAAATGCTTCCTTCAACCCATATCCCTCCCCCAAAGAAAAACCAGGGGGCCAATAGAAATAAATAAGAACTATTTTATTCTGTCACCATAACAGGTAGTATGGACACCACACATTTGTTGTTTCTGACACATTTAGGCTCATTAAGCCATCATCAGTTGCTTTTTTTTCTATATTCATGTGTATTTGCTAGTATCCTTACATTGGCTAATGTTTACATATTGGAATACTGATTTTTATTAGTGGCATGTTTTACATACTACTAAAAAACTCAGACACAATATAATGCTAAAATATTTCTAATTAGGAACTAGCTGATACCTTTGACTGGGCTGCTTACAGAACATTGTCATCTGGAAGGATACCTGTTTACCTAAAGGGGCCATAAAAATGATGTAACCTCATGGCCTATATATCTGCAGGCTTTTAATTGCAAATTTAATTGCCTGTGATTCTATTTCATGAAGCCAAGTGACTACCATAATGCCCCACCTGGCAAGTGGTTCATCCAAAGTGTGGTACTGCTGAAGAGCCAATTGTACAAAGGGGATGTGACTGGTACTATTATATATCCCTCAGGTGTACTCTGTAGCCTCTATTGGATCGATGGAATTGTACAATAAATGAACGAATGAACAGACCACAGCTAGATGTGGTGCAAGGGCCAGTATTACCCATCCCTTTAATCTGATGTAATCTTGTGTAATAAAGAACCTTCACAGTGTTAAAATTAATTTATTCACATCCAAGAGAATTATGCACCAAGGCAGACACAAACTGACACAAATATATCACCAAAATTGCAAAACAAATGTAATGATGAAATATCACCATCTGACTTGTTTTTATTAACAGCACTGCAGAAAAAATCATTTGCTAATGGCAAAATATGAAATGAATAGTGAATAAACAATCACAAAACTGAGACCATGAGTAAAAAACATCTCTGAAGACATTCTTTTCCTCTCATTCAATGCACAACAGTGCACAACTTGTGATAAAATGATGACACTCTATGATACTGTGTGCAATAAACAATGCATGAATCCAGTTCTAGGTAAATAAACTCCCATACATGTGATTGCCATGTATCACACGAACTACAGTGCTCCATCAGTGAACTGGGTCCTTATAGATTCATTTTGTGGTCTTCTTGGTTATAAAATGGCAGTCTGATAAGTAGTTACAGCATTTCTGAGGAACACACCACCTCCATCTTCAAGGTAGAAGTAAACTAAGTTGGGAAATAGCTGGGTCATATAAGAATCCAATTTTGTTCTCCATAGACCAGCCCTCCCTTTCTTCCTATATAACCTCCTGATGTCCTGAGAGGTCCCCACTCACACCCTGAAGATAGAGGCAGTATGTTGCTCCCAAGTATTTGTAGGTACTTACACAGTAATGGCTGAACCATGTAACTTTAAAAATTACTGCCACATCAATCGCCATATTAGCACTGGTAACTGTGGTTTATTTTTAAAAACAAAAAGCCTAACTCTGTGAACTTGTTACTTGAGGCAAATTCTAAGGTTAGGCTTCGGGTGTTAATTTTACATATAAATTCTAAGGTCTGCAGTGCTAAATATAGCAGTTAGTAACCTGGGTCATCTGCTATTACATAAGTACCTGCTGGTAACCTCTATCAGACAATACAGTGTCATAAACCAGATGACAATGTAAAGGCTTACTGCTTGAGATCTCATATAGGCCATTACACTTGTTATCCTGTCTCACATAAGCCAAGTCTTGCCATAATCCTATCATATAAATGCAAATATTGAGATTTATTTGGGGTTAAAATTAGTTCACAGGGCACATCAAAACTCCTACAGATAATAAGGAGCTGATTCATTCGAAATTTCCAAGTTCACAGTGTTCATCCATTCAGTTATGCCTGCTGGTATTCTAAAACATTCTCCCCAGTATTCAAAATGCTGTGGTGAAAGTGATCAGCAGGTCATTACCTCTGATCCAGGCAGAATTAACTCACAAGAAACATCTTATACTCTTGCATTTTGACATCACAGTGCTACTTGAGGCCTTTAGTCAGAAGGCCGTTTTTCACTGTGTTTCTTTGTGAACTCTTCAGCATTTTTAACAAATTTCTTCCTGTCTTTAAGATATTCTTCTGCTAGATCAGCTCGCAGTGGATGTTCTGGTTCAGGATCATTGACTAGTGCCACTAAAGCTTGTATGACTGGGGAATAAGAACCAGAAAATATTATAACAAATTACAAAACATACTGCGACATTTACATCAAATTTTTATTATAAACTTTTCAACATACCTTGGTCTGTCTTGGTTGCTGGCTTCCAATTCTCTGCACTGATGATAGGTAAACAAACCTGCCCTTTTTCATCAATGTTGGGATGATATATTTTTGTTTTAAAGTTTATCTTTGGAGGTTTAAATGGGTACTCCGCAGGGAAGTTGATCTCAATCCGAAAGGCGCCTTTGTTATATGGTGGGTTATCCTGAAAATGTAAATACATACTATTCTTACATCGATTATCACGCGACAGAAATAATAAAAGGAAATACACTAAGGTAATAATTACTCACGGGAACAATAAGTCCTTGCCATGTTAAAATATTTGACTCGTCTACCTGAATGTCTCGGAATGACTTCATTCCCGAGGTACGGATATCAGCCAGCTCCTGTGGTAAAACATCACATTACTTACTTCGAAATCTTCAATGTAAATATAATAAACTCATCACGCATCTTCAAAATCGTTCAAAATACATGCAATATTTCGTTTAATTTACGAAAACTTAACAAGACCACGAGAACCACGTGGGCAGTAGCTTCAGGAATTTTACAATTTCATCTACTTGGAATGTCATTGGTAGTCGGAAAACATACACATCCAAAAATGCATGGTATACACTATTGTTCACTTACACTATAATTACTTATATATTACTTTTCATAAGAATTTGATCAGCTGAATGTAATTTGTACTTTGTACGCGGTATTAACGCATGAAAACGTTTTTTCCCATATCTACATACCTTCTGCAACCTACGGGTCGCTGCCATGATTAATATTCTCCGACTAACGGAAACACAACGCATGGCAGAAGAGCTGCATATAACGAAAATTAGTAACAAATTCCGTCTTATATTAGGTACTGTGTTATTTCCGTTAATAGTAAATTACGTGTTGATATTTTGCGTGATTAAATAGCATATAAAATTGGGATCAGTGCAGTGAAATAATAAAAGAGTCAATTTATGTATTTTTAATTAAGCTATCGTTACTGTTATGTTTGACATGCTACACCATGAATGTCAATGAAAAATAAGGGTGTAAAAGATTAAAGTGTTACCACACTGTAACCGATATAAAGTGAAAAATATTATGCATCCTTTGAATATATATATGACACTACAACATTGGTAATCCGCGTCATGTCTTTCCTTGTAAGCCATATTCAAAATGCCTTTAGGTTGTGAAGGTGCAATACTTTAGATCGTTAAGACGTTCCAGAGACTTTGACTTTATCCGATTGTATATTTTACAGTTATGGATGTAAATAAAAGAATTAAGAATTAAACACGCCTTCCTCCGAAACTTAGGAACAATCTAGCAATTCCGCGTCAATTACGAGAAGCATCTCTCATGTTTCCTAAGTACACTAACAGTATCAGATCTATATGGTGTCAACACATGAAATATTGAAACATTAAAAAAATAAAAATTAACAATATTTTGAGAAGAAAAATAACTCCATACACCAGTCCTAAGCCATTGTACTTACTGAAATTATATCCTTTACTTTAACGCTTTAAAATGCTATGTAGCTCCACAAAGTGCAATGGGATATTTACATTTTTGGCACATTTTAATCAATGAACGATTCTGAGGAGACCTATCCACTAACAGCTCATGGCTCAGAAGCTGGTAAAACCAGTTCCTAATTTTTGTATTTGAAAGAAGTCCAAATTAACAGAGTTGTCAGATGTACTTACCACCCCCAACTACTTGCTTGGCCTATGCTGTCCTGCTAGCCCTATCACTACGTTATGAACTGCTACAGATATTAAGCAAGAAATTCTCTGTGATATGAGGTGGTGTTATTTTTAAAATTTATTGGGAGATGGGATAGCGACTGGCTACAGGCTTAACAACGGAGTGGTCAGAGTTCTATTCCTTGTAGTCAAGAATTTTCTATCCACTGGGTACTGGGGGCTCTTTCCCCAGGGGTAAAGGTGACTACTCACCAACTAGTGCACAAGGTCAAGAATATATGGATCTATACATGCAGTCCCCCATACGTCTTCATGGCATAGTGCTTAATTAGTTAAGTACAGGAACAACTTTACCTCTTATGTCAACAAATTAATTTCCCTGAAGAAGAGGGTTAATAAATGTGTGTCAGAGTTGGAATAGAAACAAGAAGAACAGGATATTGTTGCTTACTTTATTATGATCATGTTCCAGTAAGAACATGAAGGAAGCTCTATGGTTGGCTGCCTCCAGTTTCATAATGACAATAATTTACAATATGTACAAGTGAACATGGAACACAGCCCAGTATATCTTAAATTAGATAACCCCCAGCACCAACATTAACAATAAAACCACACTTCTTGCATTTTGAGCATGTCATGAAAAATTCCCTCACTTTGACATGAACTAATTTCTTGATCAGAAATCAAGTAGTGGTCTGCAACAGAAATCACTGCACTGGAAGGAAGAAATTACAGGGAAAGACAACGCTTTATTATAAAATGCCAAATGTAACTTAGCATAAACAAATATAATTTTCATACACTTAATTGTCCAACAAATATATTTGTTCATTGGAAGCATGTCTGGAAGACATCATATTCTTCTTAATATATTTATATATGCAAATTCATACTTCCCTCTTCTTCTTTTCAGTCCCCTCAATTTCATACATACAGCCACAGTCTGTCCTTCCTCCCACATCAGTGCTCCCCTTCCACTTCTTCCTTTCATCTGCCTCTGCATGCTGCCCGATGCCTCCATTACTCTCTGGCCCTGCCTACACGTTCCTCTGGTCCCCTTCTTCAGATGAAAAACTGTCCTAAACACCCCTATTTCTTCACTCTTCTCACTGTTCCTGTTCGGTTTCTCGGGGCTCCTGCCTCAGTGTATATTTGTACCAACTTTATTCCACACTTAACTTACTCCTGAATCCTGATGATGGAAACAGTAATCCCTTCTGAATACTGTTAGTGAATATCTACCAGACCACACGGCATCACATACCAGATGATACCACTGCCCGCAGTAACTGTCATAAGACAAAACCTAAAATCTGTGCTATAAGTTGTACTAGGCAATTGACATGATACACAGTAGTAGTGACATCAAGTTGAAATATAAGAACTGTTGGATCCACTGCTGATGAAGATGGTCAGACTGTTTAATAATTTCATAAGCTTCTTCTCTATTAGGACACACAAGAATTGTGAAACATTTGTGGAACAGGGATCCATCTTGTGGCATTACTGACTGGACCAGAGATAAGAGACCATCCAACAGCTCTTGTGGCCAAAGATGTTTCTTATTGTGAATCATGCTACATGCAGAAGAGAAATCTCTTCTGACAAAGCCTTTACCAACAGAAATAATTCAGAAAGATATCCTCTATCGAGTTTTGGATGTACACTTTTTAGCCAGATCTGTTATTTTGTAACTCACATCTGTGACCCCACTGCACAGCACACAGAACAAGTGAGGAAATCCTGAGAGGCCAACATTTGCACACATCAGAATGCTGCACATCCTGCACAGTGTACTTCTTAATAGTGACATAACAAAAGGTTCAGTACAATTAACAACATAACAAGCACTGTCCACCTGATAGTTCGTATTTATAATTTATTCACCTGTAAAATAATAATTGTGTTGTGAGAACATATAGGGCCCGCACCTCAAAGAAAAAAATGTAGCTCCTGGCTACCCTCTGCCTCTTAAAAATTATATTCATTTCACGGAGACAAATTAACAACTGCTTAGGCCATTAGAATTTTAAAATTGAATGATAAACCTTGAATGAAGTTATTACCAAAACTTGTGTTCTAAAAATGAAAGGGTGTAACTTGACATATCTCTTTTCAAGGTACGTTCCTTTCTAAAGGAAAAAAGGAGGCTTAGATTATCATGTTTTGTGTGTGTATGCGTGTAAACATGTGTGTCCTCTTTCAAGCCATGAACTGAGTAACTAATTTTCATGAAATTAGGCATGAATGTTATGTCACAGAAGTCGTTCCAATCTCATCTTTACAGATCTTCCGCAATTGGTAATAAAGGATTACTTTGAAGAAATTTAAGAATTATGGACAGGGACAGTTTTACCTTACCTATTTTCTAGGATGCGATGATGTGTATTCTGGTTGAAAATTACCACTGCTACAGTGGAACCTGGTAATCGAGGCTGAGTCGAATTATTTAAATAATTTTCATGGGGAGTAAAGCGCGGCCGGTGCATAAGGCTGACAACCTTACTGCCATCTTTGAGCTGATGGTCTGGATAATGTGGGACCTTCAACGTCTCACAACCCTATGGGCCTTCACAGCCTCTTACAGGGATAGCTTTACTTTTTTTTTTCTTTTTTTTCCAGTGGAACCTGCTCCCTGCACCTTCTATATAGAAGTGGGATCAAACTTCTGTCTTTGAAATGAACGTTACTCCTAGTGACATTTTCATCTTCACCATTTTCATTAGGCTTATATTAAAGAAATTGGGAGTCAAACAGTAGTACTTAACAAATTAGAACTTCAGTATTTACTGAATAAGAACAGACATTAAAACATATTCTCTTATGGAATGACCTGCAGATTAGTAAAACAAGAATGAAACCTCAGAACAGCTGATAGAAAGACAAAAGAATTACCCCTTTCGGGATTTAAATCCATGTTATTATTTCTGGCTTCAGAAATAATTTACGTACGGTTGAGCAAGTGAAGGAAAAAGCAACATTAATTTTATGACAAATAAAATAAGACCCACCCCACCACCACCACCATCCCTATACTATGAGGGATTTCAAACCTCCATTCTCATATATGATAAATGCCCTGTAAGTTCTCACAGAAGTGGCATAACAGGTTGCATGCTTAGATTTAAATACTTCCAACAACTCACTTCATAGGGTACCCAGAAAAAATGTTCACACACCCTTTTGTGCTATATATGAACAACAGGCGTACACAGAACTAATGTAACATATCCCTGAGTAAATAAAGGGGTTGGAAGACACAACGCAAGTCAAGAGTTTTGTGGAAGATATTATCTTCTGGGATGACACTGTATAGTCTGGTAGATTTTACAAACATTTAAAAGTAAAGTAATGCTTTCATCTTTGGGGTAGAAGAAAAAGCAAAGTGTTCTCTGCCTTAACAAACTGGCTACACTCTATCATACGTTATTTTTTTCTTTTACTTTGTCCACTGTCCTAATTAATTTATATAAAAAAGCATATTCTGGAAATGGGTTCTTTTTCTATCTTCAGATGGGCAGGACATGAAGAGATCCCTAGGCACATGGCATCTCTCATATTCTGCAAAGTTTTCGTAATTCATAATTTATTTACATATAAACTGTTACACAAGTACAATTGGACAAGTCAGTTGTACTAATGGACCCAAGAGAGCAGGGATCTCTTCATATCCTGTGCATCTTAAGACATAAATACAACCAATTTCTGAAATGCTGTTATTCTTATATATATATAAAAGGTAGTATAACGGATAAAGTAATGAAAAAAAAAATTCTTACACCTTCATCAAATTACTTTCAACCTGAATATTTCTGCCTTCAGAGGTTGTCATACAGTATGGTTGATACGTATCACAGTTTCAAGGAACCTTCCACTTGCATGATCACGTCAGATAGAGGCAACAAGCCTCTCGGACACACGAGCACCTATCACACTAAATAATGTCGTATTCCAGAAAATCATAATACGAAACAGTTAAGTGTCGGAGAAGAATGTGAAAAAGGCTGAGACTGCTGGAAAGTTCAACATTCAACTAAGGACCCCTTTTACAATCAACAGGAGACTATGAAAATTTGCTGATGAACATACAAGAACCATGCTTCACTGACACAAATTCCATTACTTTGGTCACCTAAATTAGACAGCCTTTTTTCATTTGTTTCTAGCTGTTGTTTCAGTTACAAACATAAAACTCAAGCTTCCCAAGAGTATAGAGCAGGAAAATTTCAATAAGCTGTGCATGGAACAGCTGGAACCCTACTATTCATTTCGTTCAATGAGAACAAATTTGAATTTTGCTACACATGAAGTACAGTAGTCAGGATGAGTAAGCATCATTAGGGGGGTTTCATTAACCACTACTCTGGTGGCAAAAATTAAAGGGGGGAAGGCTAGAGTAGTTGGATCATGTCATCAGAATGGACCAGACAAGGGTGACTATGAGAATTTTTTGAAGTAAGTCAGAAAGCAGAAGAAAAGTGGAAGACCTGGATTGAGGTGAGTGCATGAATTTTTTTAATTATTCTTATTTGGGTGAAGCTGAGTCCAGCTGGTGCTGCGGCCACTACTGGCCTATTGCACCAGCCCCAGACAATAGATGGTGATTGTGGAGCAATTGGTGGAACAAAGACTGGCAGAGAAAACCTTCCCCAGCACCATTTTGTCGACCACAAATCCCACATGACCAGACCCAGGCCACCATGATGGGAAGCCAGCAACTAACCACCTGAGCTATGGCATGGCCCTGCCTGCATGATGCAGAGAATGATTTAGAAGAGCTGAGAGTGGAGAGATGTAGGAAAAAGGCAATAAAAGAGAACGGACAGCTGTCATAAAGGAAGCCAAGAAGGGACTGAGTGAGTGGTCCTCATTATGAACATTTTTCCACTTTCATTCTAAAATACTGTAAATTTCTAAACCTTACACTAAAGAGAAGACAAAGAGTAACTAAAAATATCAATATTCTAGATCTGGGATTATAGAAATGGTTCATTACCATCCCTGCCATGGAAGTCACTGGCTTCTGCTACAGATCAGTTACCCTACACTATGGTGGACATCAAGGTCTGCTTTGCTTGCAGGCAATGTGTCCACTATGGCCTGCATTTACTGCAACACTCATGAGTGTCTGTGGTAATTCAAAAATAGTGTAAAACTGACACATACTTCATCATATGGCCTGGGACACCCAAGAGAAGATATAAAGAACAGCGGTAACAGTCAGCAAGTAGACCTGCCTCAATGTGAAAATATTATAAAATACTGCTAAAAATGTGAGACCACAACTAACAGGTGTACGAATTGGCAAACAGGAACATTTTTAACAATCAGTGCAACTCTCACAATAAACTTCTGAAATGATAACCTTCAGACTGTCGTCTCTCATATTCAAGCACAGGGGCATATCTTGAGCATGTTCACAGTTCCTCAAAGAAGGCAACACGAGCCTTCGTAGAGCCAGACTTCACCTGCGAACAAAACAAACAAACATGAGATCTGCGGTTCTCACAGCACACTGAAGATTACAGTCTTCTGGGATGTGATGCTATGTAGTTTGGCAAAGAGGTATCAACATTTCTGGGGAACCTACACATTGTCACATCCCAGAGGATAGTAAATTTTTATGGCAATGGGCGTCTGGGTTCTATGAAAGGCAGGGGATGTCCTCAACACTTTCCAATAGACTGCCTCTTCCACAAAGCGAGTGACTTGTTTTAAAATTGAATGTTACCTATATAAGACATCCAACTAGGAAGCCAGAAAGAAGAAGCTGGTCTCACCTTGCGCAGAGTTGAGTACTTGGTCTCGCCAAGTCGGACCTGCTCATCATGCAGCTGATCAAGTTCACTCTGCTTCTCTCCCACCTTCAGCACCTCAATCTCAGAGCGCAGCTCACGCAGCTGATCCTGGAGATGCTTGCTCTTCTCGAGATATTCCACCCTAAATAAAATATATTACATTTTGTGAATCATTTCCAGCTTTTAGGAGTCACTTCAAGACACTGAAATATGCAACAGAATCTTCTAAGGCAGCCTGGCAAGTGAAGACAGAATGCACTTTCAACATTTCAGAAAGTGTTACTATCACTAACATCAGGAATTGAAGCCCACTACTAGGCTTCACCAGAGTCTATTCAGTCCAGATCACACTCCTATGATTACTTGTATTGGTGCATTCACAACATAAGTTACAAAACTGTGCCTGCCTGCCCCTCTGCATACAACCACACAGCTGCTCTTCAACATTTCATGAAGAATTACACTGGGGTGGTTCACTGTTAATTTGTCAGCACATGTGCACTTCAACCCCCTTTTATAGAGACCTACATATGTTTCTGCATTTATCTCATGCATAAGTCACCACATATTTCTAAAAGAGAAAAACGTTTGGAACAACAGCTGTAAAGAATAAGATTAAACACATTTTATGCCCAATACGATTTTCCTGAGAGCCGCATCACTCTTGAATCAATTAAACAAACGGGAATTTTTATGCCACCCACAGACAATAAAAGAACAGATTGATATTAACTGTTATGCTGTGTACATTTTCTGACTTCTTATTGTGGTGAGTGTTTAACAAAAAGCATAAACTACATAATTTATAACTGTCCACTGAGATCAGCGTTGCAGGGAAGAGGGACATATTTCAACTCATTACCTTTCTTTTTCGATCTCAAGAGACAGCTGTTCCATGTCTCCATCAGTGATGAGGTCATACGCAGTGAGGTCAGCTGGCAAAGGTTCTGAGTCCAGCTGTAGAGAGCGCAGATCAGCCTGCAGTTCAGATGGCAGCACCTGACCCGAAGGGTAGAGGTTTGGCACAGACTGTGAAATGGTATCACAGTTACTTGATGTCACGCAATGTTCAGTACACCATTACATTTATACGTAACATACAGAAAGGCATAGCAACAGAGTATTAATGTGTATACTGGGACTTCCAGCACAACAAATTAATTAGGAGGTTACAGTTCATTAAATAACTGGTCAGAACATACATATTAATGAAGTTATCAAATGACTGTCAAGCTACAAGTTTTGGTCACACGTCCATCGGCAGGCATGTATAAACAAACAAATGCAACCACGTTCACTGCTCAACTGTGTGGAGCAGTGGATCCATTGTCATGTATCACAAAAATTTACAAAATTTTAAAAAGCTATAAAAGTTTCATAAATCATAGTTTACAGTTTCAATAAAACATACAGGAGTGTGGGTATAAATATTTGGATAGTTATGTTTTTGTGTGAGGGGGAGGAGTGGTGTTAAGGTGTGCTACTACTGGGTGTGCACCCTAAGAACTGACGGTGCAAAGATGTGCGCAGTTGATGCAATGTTCACCTATGTCTCTTGGTGCAGTCCATGTTTTTAGGATGTTGAGCAGTAAGCTCAATGGTCGTGTTTATATAGTTGCCATAGGAAAGTAGAGTATTATTTGGATGAATAATTACCTCCATTTTCAGGGCTGAAGAGGAAGGAAACAAGCAACCAGCAGGAATCACGCAGAGCGAACTGTGAATGGAAAACATGGATTAGACATAGGCCTTAGAAGGAGTGCACAGAGAACAAACAGGAGAAAGGGGAAGAGGCCTCCTGCTCCTATTGGTTCTCTCTGGGTTTCCTTTCAGGCCTACACCTGAACTAGGTTTTCTTCAATGGTTCATTCTGCTTGTTGCTTGCCTAGCTTACTCCTTGACTATGAAGATGGATCAGTACAAAAAAAAAATATCTGCGGTTTTAGTTCACAAGTGAACTATACCAACTGAGCGATCACTGCTTGTTGGCAAAGTTAGTGCCAACTTTAGTGGACGGAGGGTGTCATGTGGTCAGTGCAACAAATGCACACGGCTGTTAAGTTTGGTTTTCTAGACTGGAGCCACTATTTCCTTGAAATAGCTCCTCATTGTCATTGTCCATTTATTTTCCATATATATCCCTACAAGTTAAAAAACCAGGATGTGGAAATTGTCCTTTGAATACAGATATCAATATGCATATACAAGATACAGTTATCCTCATGAGGCTGAGTGGACCCTGTTCCAGATCCACTACTTCTCAGAAAATCTGGTAGCACAGGGAATCGAACCGAGACCTCTGGATTTGTAGCCAGGAATTCTGACCACCAGACCACAGAGGCAGGCGATGGATCAGTACATTCCTCCGAAATGTTGGCAAAATTCTATGAGTTCACCAAATACAGAAACACAATACACAGTTTACATCAGGCTTCAAAGGGTTAGGAAACAATATTCACTAAATGTGGGAACAAAAATTAGGATTGCACTGTATAATATTTCTTATTAATGTTCATAATGATTTGGAAACCCATTTGCAGACATAGTAGCCAAGTGAGATAACTGCCAATTCAAAATCTTCTGGAATTTATTTACTTGTCTTCTATGGTGTAACAGGAAGACTATGGCTGAAACAGTTACTCATTTTTCCTCCAGACAGACGTATTGTACCTTACGGTGTAACTGCTGACTTCACTGGCATACAAAATGCATTCATAACGCACAGGTTGAAAATCTAACTTTCTCAGGAACAACGGCTGAAGTAAGAGTCATGGAAAAGACGATACTGAAGTACTTCTAGTTGAGATTATGGTCTTTTGAGATGTGATGCCATATAGTTTGGTGGATAGGTACCAACATTTTGAAGGAACCTGCTGCATCCATGTTCACCCTAATGATGGAAACAATAGGTTCTTCAGAAACACTGATACATATCTACAAAATTATAGTGTCGTATCTCAGGGGACTGCAATCTTAATGTTTAACACCATGAGAATCAAATCCTCTACTCACTGATATGCTGTTGTAAGCATTACGGGAAAGGAACTCAAGTAGCTTCTCCTTGGCCTGCTTCTCAGCCAGCCTCGCTCTGAGCAGTTCATCTTTGAGTCTGTCGGCCTCTGCAGCTCTCCTTTCTGACTCATCCACCAGGCGGGCAGTCAGCAATTCTGCTTCTCGCGTTTTGCGTTCAAGATGCACCTTCTCCTCTTCTGTCTGTTGAAGCAGTAGTCTTGTCACTGCTTAAGGCTGCATATTTAGACTTCACATACCATAATGGTTTCTTTGTTTAAAAATCACAACACTTAAAAATTGGTCTCATTTCCATCATTGTGATCTGTGGTGAGCAAAGTGGAGTGGGCTGTCTATGAGCACTTCAAATCCACCTGCCAGTTCATTAATCATTCTGGCATTGATACTATACAGTCTCAATACTGACAGGATCATTAAGTAAATAACTTAAAAAAATTCTATCCTTGGGTGCAAAGGATATAAAGAATTTCCTAACCTGTTGACAGCTGCTTGACTGGGATAATAGGTGACACCCATGTTACTGACATATTTTAATTGTACAACAACAGGTTAGCAAGTCAACGACAGAAACTAGGCATATGTGAGATCACTTTCAAATCAAGGCAAAGACATGGATAAATTGTGAGAAATGAGGCAAGAATGAAAATTTTCTCTACTAGATACAATACAGTGTACAGCTTATTCCTTTTTTCAATAAAACTTTTTGACAAATCAGTATATCCAAAAAAAAATAATTCTAAGGCCACGTCTTTTTTCATGATGGACAGAAAGAGAAAAGGAGAGATTTGGAAGCCAAGTTAAAAGTGTGATTGATTACATGCATTGTGTGCTACTGGCGCAAAGCAAATTTTTTTTTCTCAGTATTCCTTAAATCTGAGATTAAAATTCAAAATTATAATTGAGACACAGAGACTGTGAGACTCATACCGCTCATTACCTTCATGGCTCCAAGCCTAAGTCTCGTAATTTCTTGCTCTGCTTCAGCAGCCTTTTGGCTCAACAACATGGCTTCCTCTTCTGCAACTCGAGACTTCTCTGCCAGCAGATCAGCTGTTTCCTCTGAACGTCGCTATACAGCAATGCATACTCATTACAAAACAAAATACAAACAGATTTATTAAATTTGTTATATACAGGAAGGGATTATTGCTCTAATTTCGTGTTGTTCTGTATGAACGTGAAACTTGTTCTCTCACATCAAAAGAAGAACGAAGACATAACAGGGTCCTCAGGAGAATAGTTTGACCTAACAAGGAGGAAGTGACAAAATGATGGAGAAAACTGATATAATCAGCGGCTTCATAAACTGTAATCTTCATTAAATATTATTAGGATGAGATGGGTGGGGAATATAGTATGCATGGAGGAGAAAAGAAATGCATACTGAAGGAAAAAGACCACTTGGATGACTTCAATATAGATGGAATATATTAAAGTGGATTTAAAGGAACACCATGTGGAGGGGTTGGCTCCTCAGAACACAGCACTACTCTTTTCCAGTTTCCATAAATGGCTGGGAATAGGAACACAGTGGCAATATTGTTCATTGACTTGCACTGTACATGCATGTCAGGTTACATAATGCATTCTTGTGGGCCAACATTAAACAGACGTATGTTTGGAAAAATTTGGCACGTGAGACACATACAGACTAAACAGACTTGTGGCTCGCAACAACTGATGACTCTGAAAGATTAAGGAAATGGAATGAGAAGTAGGTGGGAAAAGCAGCCATTAACCAGACTGTTCCTTGCAGTTTACTTCATTGTCACCCCCTAGTGTTTCCAGATACGATCTGCTTGCTCTTCCTGGCAACGGCATAGCATTCATTTGTGAGGCGGGGTGGCCCTCAGGGCAGATTCTGTCAGAATAATGGGAGGGTAGGGGGGACAGCACTGGTAATCTCCACAATCCAAAAGCTATATCTCTGAGGAGGGTAAAGGTTTCAATGTGTGAGCAGAAAAGTGCACACACAAAGCTGGCCAGTAACAGAACTCAGAACCCTCTGAATTAGAGTCTTACACTAAGAACACCAAGTCCCCTATTGCGATTGGTGTCTTCTGTGATGTGATGCCATGCAGTGTCGTAGCATGTTCTGAATGTTTTGAAGGAGCACAGTGTCTCCATATTGATGGTACAAGTGAAGGCAGTATGTTCCTGTGAAATGTTGGTACCCACGTACCTGATTATGTGAACTCATAACGCAGATCACAATATAAAAAATCTGCTCAAGTATGAGCTTACTTTGACTCCAATTTCAGAAAAAAAATTATTATCTGCTGTGCATTAGCGTTTAACCAAGTTTTCTGTTGTGAAACTGAAGACTTTAAGAGTATCAAAAAGTAGAGTTTTACCAGAGCTTCATTGGCCAATCGGATCTCCTCCTGATACTGCATCAGCCGCTGCTCCATGGCTGCTTTCTCCCGTTCCGCAGCCTCACGCAGCTGCTTCTCTCTTGCCAGCTTATTCCGCTCTATCTGACGCCTTTCACAAGTAAACAAATGCAGTACGAATTATTTTCAAGAAAGCCATAACACTTTAACACATTCCTGATGCACAGACATTCTGCAAATAAAGATGTCTGCCTGCTGAAGTGATACAGTGAAACAATACGTGGATCAGGTCAGTGCTCATTACACCATAAAGAACACATAACTGAAAGAAAAAAACCAAGAGCCTGAGACCTGAGGTTCTCACAGCAGTGACTATTAAGATTTAGAGTACTGTGGGATGTGATACAGTTTAGTTTGGTAAATAGGTACCAACATTTTGAACGGTCACTTTGATCCTGAGGCTGAGACAGTGCATTCCTCCAAAATGTTGGTAACTATCTACCAAATTACACAGCATTGCAACACAGTACATCATACTCTTCATAATCACTACTGTGAGATCATCAAATCTTATGCATTTTACCTGGACTTCTCTTCTTTAGCTTGTGCTTTCATCTGCTGAACTTCCATGGAATCTGGCTTGCGTCTCCTCATGAACAAGTCATGGTTCCCGATGCAGAGGTCCAGGATCTGCAAAATGCCCATGAGACTGGTCAGTAAAATCCATGACATGCCTCTTCAGTGTAACTCTCAGTTCATCTGACCCATCAGATAACTAAAATTGCATGAAAACAAATCTTTTTGGCACAAATTCATGCTAACATTCTCTTTAGTTTTTCTTTTAAGTTTCAATTTGATTCAAACAATACACCAATTTTATCATGCCAAATATGCACATTCAGAACAAGCAACAACTGCAGTGTACAGGCCATTCCCAGCTTAAAATGTTTCCACTGCATTCTCCAGCCTTGATATTCATGACTTTCAGCTGTACAACATGACTTGTCCATTTTCAGTCACTGTCTCGAATGCCTGAATCTGTGTTTACCAGTGTTATTTGGATATTCAATGTGCTTTTATACAGATGACAGTGCATACTGACATGGCTCCTAAAGTCTAGGTACATTTATTCCCACGGTCCTGGAAACTGATATTTGACTTACAATGGAATTTTCAGGAATTCATTATAGTCATACATCAGGAGAGTTGTGTATTCCAAAACATCTTAACAGTTTCAGTACACGATACAGCCAAACCTTGAAGACCTAATTCACACAAGAGAGCATCATATAATCAGATTACTTAGTATGACAGATACCGGTATCAATTACGGAAAGTACAGCTGGGAAAGTGGAATTGGGATTCCTAAGTTGGTACAGTGAGAGGCTACAGGCTGTACAGCCCAGGTTCGATTCCCAGCAGCGCAAGATTTTTCTCTTCTCAACAGTGTGCAGACTGACTCTGAGGCCCACCAAGCCTCCTATCCAATAGGAACTGGGGGGCTCCTTCCCTGGGAGTAAAGCAGCATGGGCATGAAGCTGACTGCTCACGTCCATCTGGTGCGGAGGTCAAGAATAGTAGAGCACTACCTTCTCTCCCACGTCTTCATGGCATGGTGCTTAATTAATTAAGCACAGAGATAACTTTACCTTTACCTTACAGCTTGGAAAGTTGGGGGGGGGGATTTCAAAAGGAGACGCATGCTCTGGCCACAACACCAACTGAGCAGCTACTCACCAGCTTATTCATGCGAACTTTCTGCGAAAAGAACACAAAGTTTGGTGATGACTTCTCCACTGGTTTGATGATGAATTTCTTGTCATCAAAACTGATGTGTCGAATCTCAGACCATGTGAAAGTTGTTTTGGGGGTCAGTTTATTTTCCTTTTCATAAATATTAAGCCCTAGAGCAGTGACACCTAGCCACAACTCAGTATCCTTCTTGTTCTGCAACACACAGCACAACCGCCACAGTAAGCATCTTCATCAACACCTGACTAATGACAATGTCTACTTTACATGCCTGTATGGAGTACTTACACTTATGGGAAAGTAGTTGACACCATACATGTCCAGATCCTGTGCAATCTTGAGATACTCCATCTCGGCCTCATCACGTGACATGCCCCGGTGATCCGCATACCAGATCTTGATTCGGTCCTCCCACATCTCTGGCGTCATCTGGTACTGGTCAATCACGCGCTGCGGCAGTAAGTCCTCACTCGCTAGCATTCCTGGCTTATATGTTGCATCATCATAATCACCATACTGCATGAGTGAGAATACCAGCATTAGCTTCAAGTTGCATTACAGGTCATCACTATGCAATGTTCTTTATATCATGCTCTAACCCCTCACTTAGACTGCAATGAATTTCATTATAACATTAACATGAACAGGTGTCTCTGCTGAAATATTCACTTTAATAGCAATCAACAAATCTGCATTCATAAATCTTATTAACTCTCTCAGTGGCATGAGGAGATACCTCACCATCGGGGTTGGTACAGCAGTGCATTCGGGAGGCGTTCGGTTTGAATCTCAGCAGAGACATTGCCTATCCTGGCCCAGGTTTTTCGTAGTTTACCCTAAAGCCTCATTGCAAATGCCACAGTAGTATATTGATTCAATCATGGTCAGTTACTTCCAATTCACTTTTCACCAGTCATCCTACTATTTGACCTACCCAGTCCACAATGCTGAATGCCACACACAAAAGAAAAGATATCTCACTTACAAGTATAGGGCTTTTGACCTGAATTCATTTGTTGTTCAAGATCAATAAAACAGATGTGCCCTTCCATCTCTACCAGTTAAACCTAACTACCTGTGGCTTTACAGAAGGGTACAAGTAAAGTACAGTAAAGTAAAGGTATCCCTGTAACAGGCTGTGGCAGCCCATAGGGTTGTGAGATGTTGAGGTTCCCACATTTTCTAGACGATCAGCTCACAGATGGTGGAAAGGTTGTCAGCCCTACGTGCCGGCCGCCCTTTACCCCCAAGAATATTCCAAGAATATTCCTGGTACTCATTTCTGTTAGAGGCTGAGTCGACCCCAGGGCCATAGTGCAGCTGGAAGGATTAGGTCAATTGAAAAAATCCAGTGACCTCATCGGGACCTGCAACCTTCCGGCTTGTAGCATAGAGCCTCAACCAACTATGCTAAGAGCATATAACAAATGGGTTAGGCATCAGAAATCCCATCTGCCCCACTGGATCTATCTCTCCTGTCTTTCCTTCATGGATGCCTGAGTAACAGAGCCTTCTCAAGTGCCACTGCCTAAACAACACAGTCGTGCCATTAAAATCATCTGCCTTCAGACATGCACAATCTTTTTTTCAGTTTCCTTCCCTCCATGAAATGCTGGGACATTAACTTAAATTAGTACTGGTACAAGAGGTCAGAAGTGGCCACACTACAAGGATCAGTCCCACCGCACTAGCAATAAAAAAAAACTTAAATTAGTAACGTCTTTCCTTCAGGGTTTCTTACGAAAACTTTGCATGCATTCATTTCTCACCTCACATGCACTACATGGAACAACCACCTCACCCTCCTTGATTTGATCACCTTTAATAATGTCTGGTGAGCAGTACAATTATGAAGCTCCTCATTAAGCAAAATCTTCCAGCCTCCCTCACTTCCACTCTCTCACAGGTCCAAACATTTCCCTCGGCACCCTGTTCTCAAACACCCTCAGTCTATGTCTTCTCATCAGAGACCAAATTTCACACCCATACAAAACAACAAGAAAAATTCTACTTTTGTATATATTAATCCTTGCTTATAGATACCACGCGGGAAGCCAAAAGATTACAATCTGAATGGCAGCAAGCATAACACGAACTACAAAGAAAAAAGGGGGAAAAAACAAAACAAGGAACCTGCAGATTCTAAAGGGTTGTTATGACAATACTCTATGATACTGAAATTCACTGATTTTTTGGTCTTTGTCCAGCGACCAATATTCTTAATAACACAATGTCAAAAACTGCACCTGTTTCCATCCTTGGGTGAAAGGGTGGGCAAAGTGCATTAGAAAGAGCTAACCTCAAACACATCACATGGGAATGCACCTACTCAGTTGAGTCCATTAGAAAGGTCTAATCTCAGTCAGCAGATCTGTAATACAGTGATATCAAAGATACTGGTCCAACAATTAATTCTAATAGATACAACAGATTGAGTGGCTATCCCACTTTTTCACCTTGGGATGGAAACAGACTCTCTTTCTGAAACGTTGTGTCCTTCAGAATGGTGTGCACTGGACAAAGTCTAAATCCTGAAGAAAACTGTGCTCAGAATTTAAAACGTCAAAGTGCAGATATGGGAATAAAATGAGGGGGCTTTCATAAAGTTAGTATTTCAATTAAACTAGCTTACCTTATCAGTTCCAGTAACACAACTTTTTAAAAGTATCTGGTTTACTTTGTACTCACAAGAATAAAAAAAACAGTGTCTGAAGTTCACCTCAGCCACCTTTACAGTCATGCATTGTTTTATTCATCTACATCTGAAGTAAAGCAACAGCAGTGGCTCTGACCTTTGCTTGCACTGCATATGAGGCCAGTAAAACTGATGCTTCTGGCGGACAGTAGATGTCCATGGAAAGAATAGCTTGCTTCACTTGCAGGAAGAACAAATGCTGTGTGACTTCCTGAACTAGTTCTTCAGCCACATCTTCTGGGTAGAACTTACCAAGGAACATGAAAGAAGTTGTAGGCTGTTGTGAGATTCCCTGATCTTGGACTGGAATAATAACACGTCTTTTAAGTATCACCTTATTTGTATGATAATAATTTCCTATACAAACTATGAGTGAAGTACCTTTTTTGTCCAATTTTAGCCATGAAATAAATCCCTTTGAGTCTTCATACTGCAATCCAAAGTACCAAGTTTCTCTGAGACCTATTGTGCGGCATACCAAATCGAAAAGATCTCTTCCTGTCGCCCTCCACTGAAAATGAACGTAAGAGCCATAGATTCCAGCATGATCGTTCATTCTAACAATAAGTGAGCAAACTGCGACCATTTATATTCAACTAACCTCCAAATTGAATTCCAATTCAGCGTCCAAAGTGTACACTTTGACGGGAAACGATTTTCCCGATTTCTTACGTCTAAATGGAGGCATTTTATCCTTCATTTTTGACGAAAATCATTAAAAAATAAAACTGAAACCTCCGTACATAATGTCCTAACGAAATTTACTGCAAACTGTTACAAAAGCAACATAAAACATTATTTCCTAAATTCTTTCTTTCGCGACAACCCAACCTAAAACCTCCGCAACTGCGTCCAATGGCGCACCAAACATGTTGATCTATTGGAAACTCATCTGTGGCGTAAAATTAGTTTTATTCCATGATGTACATTATGTGGAACGATGTGGAACTTTTAATTGACGCAAGTAAATAGATTTGTCAAGAAGTAAACACAGAGAAAACTAAGTATATGTTACTGTCTCGTCACCAAAATGCAGGGTAAAATCATGACATAAAGATAGGAAACAGATGTTTTGAAAATGTGGCACAGTTCAGATATTTGGGAACAACGATAACAGATCGAAACCTGATTCAGGAGGAAATTAAGAGGCGATTGAACTCGGGTAATGCTTGCTATCATTCAGTCCAGAACCTTTTGTCTTCTCGTCTGTTGTCCAAAAACATAAAAATTAGTATATACAAAACTACAATTTTGCCTGTGGTTCTGTATGGGTGTGAAACTTTGTCTCTGATATTAAGGGAGGAACATAGACTGAGGACGTTTGAAAACAGGGTGTTGAGGAGATTATTTGGACCGAAGAGAGATGAAGTGACAGGAGGCTGGAGAAAACTGCATAATGAGGAGCTTCATAACTTGTACTCTTCTCCAAATATAATTAGAATGATCAAGGCAAGGAGGATGAGGTGGGCAGGTCATGTAGCACGAATGGGGGAGACGAGGAATGCGTATAGGATATTGGTGGGAAAGTCAGAAGTAAAGAGACCACAGGGAAGACCAAGGCGTAGGTGGGCGGACAATATTTGAACGGATCTTAAGAGAGATAGGATGGGATGGTATGGATTGGATAATCTGGCTCAGGATAGGGACCAGTGGAGGGCTCTTGTGAACACGGTGATGAACCTTCGGGTTCCATTAAATGCTGGGAAATTGTTGAGTAGCTGCAGAATTGGAAGCTCCTCCAGAAGGGCTCAGCTCTATGAGTAAGTAAGTAAGTACATTATGTTGGTAACGATTGGCAACCTGTTGAGTAAAACAATCTTGTTTACAACGATGGCGGCTGTGTGATTTACAAGTATGGAATATCTTCATGTAGTTCCTTAACTGTGGGTGTAAAACGTGTAATGGCTGAACGAGGGGCACACCTGACACCTACTTCGCAGGCGAAACCTTCAATATTTGAAGTAATCGCACAAGATTCGCTATCAGTGACATTTCAACCAGCGCTGAAGCGTGTTGCTACGGTAAAAAAGTCAGCTGATTGTAATACGTAACGAATACGTCTAGTGTCAAAATTGTTCAGAAATAAAATTTCACTTGAATAAATTATAGCATAATTAGCGGTTAAAAGAATCGTTTATATCAAAACAATATTATGCCACTGAAAACTGACACCATTTCTCGACAGTGATGACAAAAACAACGCCTCTGAAAAGGACAGTTTTCCCACCTAAAGTTCCCATTGACCAAGACTGGACACGGTTCTGTAATCCCCTGACATAGGTTTGAGTGACCACCTTCCTTGTAACCAGGCTATATAACAGCAAATTCTGCACCATACAAATCAGTCCTGATGCTGGAGGCAGCATGTTCCTCCAATGTGTCAGAATCCACCTACAAAATTACACAGTATCATAAGCAGAACAGTACAATATAAACAAAACTGCTACAGATGTATGAGATCTGAGGATCTGATATCAGTAACAAGATCAGAGTCTTCAATGTCATGTAATGTAGACCTTGCAATGGAGGCACCAGATTCTTATAGAACAGGCATGTCCAACGCGTCGATTGTGGGATGAGTTTTGGTCAATCTCATAGGCTTATAAGGAAATTATAAGGGAAAAGCATGTAAATTCACTTGTAATATAATATGTTATATTCAGATTTTGAAGGGAAAATATGTATTAAAGTAGCCTGTACTTTCAATGTATGTTGCTTTCACAACAAACATCATGTGTCATGTTATTTTTACCAGTATTTTTGCTTAAAGCGAGGTATGATGATAGGAGGGGGTGGTAGATCACTGGCAGTTTTGACACTAAAATGTCGAGCACAATCTATTTGAAGATGGACATGCCTGTTATAGAACATTGGTACCTGTCAACAGTGTCAGATCCCAGAAGACCATAATCTTGTTAATGCTGATTAAGGACATCTTATGCTGCAGTTTGCCAGTTAATTATAACTTGGGTTGCATTCTAGTTCATTACTCCATGTAGTAGCGTAGTTCACAACATTTGTGAATAGTTTGCTACCTCCATCCTCTGCCATAAAGTTGGAGGTACCTGGCTCTCGTGAAACACTGTTATGAGACCATACAGTGCCATAAAACTACAATCCAAGCTTCCACCACAATGGCAACCTAAGAAGTCATATCAGTTATAACTTGCTTCTCATTTCAGTTTTTGGCAACTTGTAACCCTGAGAAATATGGGTGGCTCGTAACTTGGTTTGAGGAAGTGCACTTTGCATTTAACACAATACTTCAATACCATTACTTAAAGCATCATGGTAAGTTAGCAAGTGCCACTGTTTGTACTGTGATAAGAAAATTACATTAAGTTGTATAATACAGTGTAGGTTTATCACCATGTGACTTACTAGGGCAGTTTCTCATCTAACATTGGTCTTGCCCATGGGCACTGGCAGAAAGGTGGGAGGGAAGCCAGCCATATTCTCCTCTCACCCAACCGAAAAAAAAAGTGCCAAATATGAATAACAGAAACTAAAATATTATATATATATATATTCCATTCCATTCCATTCATTCCATCAAATTCTCCACAAATAAGAATATCTTAACTAATTCTAAATTGTAATCAACTGTATACAATTGTAACTATTGTAATTTTAATCTTACTCATATATTAAATTGTTAATATTCAGAATTAACTTGACTTGTCCTATATCATGTACAATGATCTACAGTGACGAAATCAATCAATCAATCAATATATATTCTTTTATCTTATGTTTCATTATAGAGACCGACAATCATGGAACAATCCATGAAAATGTTTGTAAGCAAATTTTCTGCTGTCTGCCCTGAAAAGTATCCTGGTGGCACCTATCACTCTGCCTGATCTTTTTTTTTTTGGCATGGTTTGGTTGAGAATACTTCTTGCAATTGTTCATATACACATGTGACAGTTTAGCTACAGATTCAATGGTAGACATGTTTTGAGTTTGTCAGCCATCTTGTGGCAAGTGTAGATGGTAGACAGCCACAAGAAATAACTTAATGATAACCCACCATAGATATGAATTCAATTCAGTATAAGTTAGGTCAGGTTAATGTGCATTATGGGTCCCAAACATTATTCTATACTTTTACCAGAAATTATTATAGCTAACAAAATATATGTTAAGTTAAACGTTTATATTACCTGAATTAAAAGAGTTACAAGAGCCCTTACATAACATATACAAGAAAGCAACAGAAAAATAAAAACAAATACTTTATCTTCATCATGATTTTTTCAACAAAGAAACAGAAATAGGCAATGTCATACATCATCTGATGTGTCCTGTCTTTATGTCTATAAACTGTTATTTCAACAGCACAAATGAATCAAGTAATGTGTATAATATTATAACCTCACAACCAAGGCTGGACTGACTGCGGGACAGTTGATTCAGGGCACTGGTGTCAACTTGTCATTTCTGCAATAAAATATTTATATCTGAAGTTCAGTTTTCTCAATCACCAGTCCTATCATATCACATTCTGATAGTAACATGTTCTGTGTTTCCCCATTCAGGCGGCTCATTTGCAGAGGTGGTGTATGGCTTACAGCGCGTCCCACTGCATGGCATCATGTCCAGATTTCCTGAGCTGCCACTTCGACAGGAGGTCATGTCCCTGCTGTGTTTGTGTGTAGTGCCGTACATCCGAGCCAAGCTGGAGAACAGAGTGACTCAGTACCAGCTGCTCGGGGTATCCAAGGGCTGGGTGCAGGTCCTACTACGACTGCACTCGACTCTGCATTTTCTGTGGGAGAGCAGTGTGCTGGGCAACTACTTGTCCTACATGACCGGGCATTCTGCAAGCCATTCACCACTCTTGCACCTGGCTGGTGTCACACTCCAGTATGCAGCTGAGCATGAACAGGAATCCAAGTATGGCTTATACCTAGAATATGGGGAATGGAAACAAGAAAATGGGACTTCATTCAGTTCATTTGGTAATACTGCTCAATGTGCAGGTTTCCACTCCTGTCAGCAAAGTTTGTGGGGTACCTGCTGACACGCACATTGGAGTTTGGAGCATTCTTTCTTCGGTTCCTGCAGTGTTGGCACCTGGGTGACATGCAACATACCAGTGTGACTGCCCTGCCTCTTCCTCCTCCTTTTGAGGTACAAAACTAATTTTTCATCTCACCGTATGCACGGTTTCTCTTGCACACGTCCGCTTCAAGCTCATGAGACTTCACAACACTTTCACACTTGTAAGTCATTTTAGAAATATGTCACAGGTTTCCAGAGGTTTTCAGTCAGCAGTGTGGCCTGGGTGAATCACAAACAATCCATAAGCTGAAGTGAGAGTGGTGAAGTTGAGAAATATCTAGAGAGAGGGGTATCTGCATACACTGTCTCCTCAAGATCACAGTAAACAGCATTTATTTCCCTAAACAGAATTGGCAGGTTGCTCTTTTCTAATGGAGACAGGGCATTTTCTGTGAGCAAGGAATTTAATTCTTAAATAGTATTTATGTGAAAGTCTTGCTTCAAAGGTTTGATAAATTTATCTTCATGTACAGTGTTAATATTTTACGAATACACGTACTATCGTTCTCTGTCAGATCACTGCTAATGTTCTGGAGGAACCTGCTGCCCCCAACTTTCAGGGTAGAAGAGTAAACGGAACTTAAAAAAAATGTGGAACAAATATGGGAAGGAGGAGGACCAGACCCAAACTTGGAGCAGACAAGAGCAATTAGGACAGTACAGAAAATATTTGGTCCTTAAAGGGGCAATTTTCCAAGGGCAAAATGATTGGGAAAAATAATGGCTGAGTGGACCTATAGAAGGTAGAAGGAAGGCAGAAGAAGCAGAATAAGGAATCAGAGGTCCTGTTTCAAGAGCATAAAGAATGAAAGAAAAGCCAAAACACTAACAGGGGCTGATTGAAGAAGCAAGAGGAGAGACCACTGATGATGATAAATTATGAACTTTGAGGTTTCAAAACAACAGAGAATTGACTAAGTTGTTGCATGATCATAGAACTTGAATTTATTGCTGTGAATTGACATTTCTGCCTGTATGTACAGGGGTTACCTCAAGCAGCACAGTATGGAGAGGTGTGTCCAATATGTTTCCAGAAATGGAAGAATGAAACTGTGTTGTCTGTGTCAGGGTAAGTTTTTCAAGAGTGAAAATGAATCCTCTCACTTTGACTGTGTGGATTCATGGTGCATAGTTAAACAAGAGGTTTTCATCACTGTGTGTTCTTTGCACAAATTTGCACAATGGTGATGCATTATGGGGATGGACAGGTATTCTGGACATTTTCCATTATCTTTGAATAAAGAAACACAACACTTCAGAAGTTTGCTTTCATGAAATCTATTCTGCTGGCTCCATTAGGTTGAATTAATGTGTGTCCCTGATCAGGAGATTAGCTGCATGTCACAGACCCAACAGAGTAGGTTTCATAGTGTTAGTTCAGGCGAAAGCAGAGCCACTTTCTTATGTATTGTTTCTTTATCCAGAATGAGACAATGGAAAGTCTCCAAAATATATGTCAGGTTAACTGTTTGATGGCCAAGCCCCTCTATAGGACACACACAAAAAGACCACAATACTCTTTTCAAATGCTCAGAGTTATAAATAGTGTGAAAGCCTGTTCTTTCCTCTAAACATTAGTACATGATACTTGATGCTACACTAAGTGATTCACATCAAACTGATCTCTTTGTCTGTGATGGCTGTAACGCAAGTACAATGAGCTAATCTAATCAGAGACTTAATAACACTTCTTTGCCACTGACATTTTAACTTATCACATGCATTGCATTTTCTTACAGGTTTGTGTTTTGCTACCGCTGCATTGTGCAGTATCTGCAAGAGAATCATTGCTGTCCAGTGACCACATATCCTGCAGATACAGGAGACCTGATCCGAATCTATTCCAGTAGCTCCTGACACAATGTACACCACTGTAATGGCTTGTCAGAATGAATGGTGTACTTTATGAAGGGAATGTACATAACTGGTATTTCTTGAACTGTACTTCAGTGGGTCTGGTTATTTAAAGTAATGCATTGAGAGAAGTTAAATAAAAAGAAAGTTAATTGGCTTCTGTTTTCTCTAGATGTGGCAAGGGTGAAGAATCCATTTCTGAAGTGGGGCACTTGTGGGACATTCAGTTATGCTCAATGATAGGGTGATTATGAGAACAGTGGTTGGCAGAGTGAACCTACAACTTAACTTGTGCTCTGAACCAAGTTGGGAGGGGTGGCTTTCACACTCCCATTATGTTTTGTGCAGATAAAAGTCTCAATCTATGCAAAGAAAAACCTACATATGCATCTAGCCAGGAATCAAACTCACATCCTTGGAGTGAGAGTCCAGTTTCTTGCCCTGAGACCACTAATATGAAATGTGTTTACATATGGGCCTTTGGCAGCAAGCAGTCAGGGTATAAGAACTGATGTCAGACAACGGACAGTAATGCAATCCACATATACACACATTGAGCCAGATTTCATTTTGGAATTATTAGACCCAACAGTTGTCTCTGTGCAGAGATAGCTCCATGCATTCTGAACCTGGGCACCAGATGGAGGGGGGGTTAACTTTATGCTCTGGCTGCTTTATTCCCAGAGAAAGAATCCTGGTGTCCATTGGATGGGAGGGTGGGTGAACCCCAAAACCAGTCTGGATGCTGCGGAGAAAAGACAAATCACTGCCACGGCCAAGAATCGAATATCGAGTCCATAGCCTAGTCACTACATGGACTGAGGTGTCCTGGCTCCCATTATCAGGTTATTCAAGAGAAAATTAAAATACTTAAATATGAATATGGCAGTGAATCATGGGTGAAACACAAAAAACATTTCTTGATTGTAGCTTTGCATCAAGGGACTAAAAGAAAGAAGGGTTCCCTGCACCTGTGATGTCTGCAGAACATTGGCAACCCATGTCTAAGGTGCTGAGGAGAAAGTGGAACATCACTGACTTATTCAGTAATTATAAAGGAGCAGTATTTTGTGAAAAGATCAGGTTGATAACAGAAGAAGGGGGAGAAGAAGGAGACAGAGAGAATGAGAAACAGGAGAAGAAAAAGAAAGAGGAGAATAAGCAGGAAGCAAGGAAGAATTAAGAAAATAAAGAGAAGGAGAATAAGCTTGAATGTCACTATTCATATCTCATCTCATATTCAAAGGAAATAAGCTGCAACGAGACCAACCCCTTGTTGCCAATGTATTTTCATTGGATCATGTGAAGTAAGGAATTCTAAAACAAGTGGTTAAGTGCCACACTCTGTCAATGCTCACTTCTTTATTATGTGCAAGTTATGTCAGTATCGACAAGCTTATATAACTAACAGGAGGCATTAACACATACTGACAATTCACATGCTCTCCAATCTCTTTCTATCTGTACTTCATCTTGCAGGGCCACATGGTTGTCAGACCATGCATTACTGTGAGTATTAACAGATTGCTCTCATGTGCCTCTCACAGATTTCATGTGACTGTTGCAAGACCAACTACACATAGAGATGACCAGAAACATGAAGTAACTGATGACATAATAACAAAACTGAGAGAAAAAATGAAATGGGATGAAAAGGGTGTTCCGCACACCTCCTTTCCTACATTAAAATGCATACAAACATTTCCCTTTGAGATATTACAGGATGCTAGTTGAAACTTCTAAAAATATTTTGCAATTACAATTTAATAAAGTTTATATATTGCAAGAACAAATCATTTCCTTTATTTGTTCAGAGGATTCTTGGAAGTTCCAGAATGATAGAGTGATGATTCATTCAGTATTACCCCTCTGAAATTTGAAGCTCATTTAAACAATACATGAAATTCAGTTCCTATCTTACATGAAATACAAAACACACAAATATGCTGAGGAGAAAAACACGACATTTAATGTTAAAACAGATGGTATATACAGTTACCGTTGTGCTTTAAGGAGTTGAAGACTTTAATATATATTCCAGTCAGGCCAAAAAGAAACACATCAATTTCCTTCCTACCAGTTATGCGTGTCTTGCTGGTCTTGGCTTCTTTTCGTTGCTGATACAAATCTACTGTTTTAATTTAGGATGACTCATATTTCAAACAGAATGAAACATTTTGGAATCTGGATCTGTTTCCATCCTTGGGCAAGAGGTGAACTGGGAATGGCCATTATGGTGCTCTGTTGCCTGTTGAGGAAAGAGAAAGTTAAATATTTCACGCAAAGTGTTAAGTTCTCATTGAAATTTCAAAGGCATAATCAAGCTCATGATATTCTCTACATTATGGGCTGTGACTGTGAATGCTGTCCCAGAGGCTCTCACTCATCAGTCTGACAGGACCCAAGAATTAACCTTAACAAAGCATTGGTCATTTCTTCTGTTGTGGTCGCCTGCTGCTCATGCTCATCAAGTGAGTCGGTTTGGCTCCTCACCACCCTGCACCCCAACCGTTCGGTTTGTGAACTTGATGGTTACATCCCGAACAGACATATTGGGTGTGAGGAAGTCCTGCAGAGTGTTGACACCATCACGAGGCATGCGATCAAATGGATAACCCATAGATCGCTTATCAGGGTACAGTTTATCCCGTATCCCACAGAAAATAGCAGCATCAGCACATGCACCCTCTGTATTCTGGTTTATCTGTGAAACAATGAGAAAAATGATGAGTCTCTAAAGTAGCAATTATAAAGCAAAAGTTTCCTGCTGCTGCATTTGAGACCTGTTCTGTGAGTACATAACTTAAAACATATAACTTTTTATGTATAATACAAATCCTGTAAAGAAGACTGTTATTAATTTACATTTTAAAGCAAAGTGTGAGGAAAATGTGATTATCTCAGTTTGCAGTAGCTCGCTAAATGGGAACACATTGACTGGACATTCTTCCATAGCTGATTGAAGATATACAAGGTGTGGCAATAAAGAAACCGGATTCATGCTCTAACCCTTTATTAAAAAAAAATCAGACAGTCGAAATGTTATCCCCTTCAATGTAGTCCCCTCCCCGATCCCTACACCGCTCCATGCGAATTTTCCACTGTTGGAAGCAGTGCTGCAGGTCATCTTGTGTTATGCTCTTCAAGAGTTGCGTCGCTTTTGCTTTCACTGCATCCACGGACTCGAACCTGGTCCCTTTCAGCGCAGACTTGATTTTTGGGAAGAGAAAAAAGTCGCACGGTGCTAGGTCCGGAGAATACAGTGGATGTTCCATCACTGGAATGTTGTTTTTTGCCAAATACCTCTTCACAGATAGCGCGTTGTGTGCTGGCGCGTTGTCGTGATGAAGAACCCATGAGGCATTCTTCCACATGTCTGGTCTCCTTCGTCGCACA